TAAACCCTGACTTCATACCCTGGAAGCCCCAGAGGGGAATTATCCCACCGGCCCTAGCTGCTCTCCTGGAATCACTTGGTGTGGGATGGATGGAGATAGGACTCTAAAAGGTTTTTCACACTCTTTTACTGCAAAAGCAGTGATAAAATGACAGACAGCACATCTACTCTAATGGCCAGTCAGACTAGAAGACAGATCAGAAACTTATAGAACTGAAAAAGAACCTTAAAAAAAAGTTAACCTGTTTAGTAAAGCAACTGAAGGTGGCCAAGAGAAGGTGGAGGGGGTGGGGCGGAAATGGCAGGCTTTCTCAGATTTTAACCTGTTCAGGAAGCTATCAATATGTTGAAAATCTTCACCGCTATGACTTCAGTTACTTCCCCCAAAGTGAGGGATCTGTAAGCCTCACAGCCACCCACACATGCAAATATGAAAGAAGCAGGAAAGCCAGAGAAGACCTACAGTGAAACTGCTTGTGATTGGGTTGTGTGTGTGTACATACACAGAGTGTGTGCTGCGTCTCCAACTGAGGATGAATACTACCACTAAAAAGTGACACATGTATATTTCTCTCTGTCTCAAAAACGTCAACCAGGCAGCTTGGAATACAGGACACTTAAAATGGTGTGAATAGAAGTAAACCCCTCAAAGAAAGTCAGCTTCCACTAAGGCCCAGGACAAAAACTGCCATAGAGCAAGGCATGGACAGGATTTGATGAGCCCCAGGCCCATGGAGCTTCTCTTGCATTCATTCTCCTTTCCATCCCCTCTATCAAAAACAAAATTATTCATAACACTGATCAGTTATTTCACTGAAAGATCCAAGGATGAAAGAAACTCACAGCAAAGATCAGAAAAAGTGTTCCATGAGGCAATCCCAAAGGCAATTACCCAGATTGGAAATCTAAGGCTAGTCTCAGCCTTGGCTTATAACAGATGCTCAATATAGCCAGGAGCAAACCTCTGGTCAAACCCTATGAACTACAGAATCTCCTCTCACAGCTAGTTCACTTCCACTTTCCTCTGGATGGGATCTTTTCTTGGAGTAGCTGGGATCAGAGCTAAATGTCCCAAACCAAAAAGTTCTTTTGCACTTTGTAACACAGTGACACACCTCGAGTGGTCACTTCTTTACAATCTGCTCCTTAACCACATTCTTCTTTGCCTACTCTCCGGTTTACCAAAGGCTGAAATCAATGAAGTATTTTCAGGTCAGAGAACCAATTCTCCCTACTTACTCCCATCTCTAAGGCAAAGTAACGACAGAAGATCCTCGTGTTCAACCCAGGATTTCCCTGCCACAACTCACAAAACACACACACACACACACACACACACACACACACACACACACACACACACACACACACACACACACACGCACGCACGCACGCACGCGCGCGCGCTGGTGTGGTGAGGCCAGCCCACCCTGGGAGGGCCAGAAAAGCGAGCTTGAAGTCCGTCCTAAACTCGGGACAGCTCCCTGTCCCGAACAGCTCCAAAGCAAGCCCCAGGCAGGGCCTGTCCGCTCCCCTACCACCGGGCCTCCTCACCTCGCATTCTGGTACCGCCGCTGCCACCTCCGCCTCCGCCGCCGGTAGGGGAATTGGGCCCCGCTGACTGTTTGCGCCATCCCCGCCAGTTCTGGCAAAGGCTCTCGGCTTCGGAGATGAAGGAACAGAGTGAATCCTCCTCAAAGCGGTCGGAATCCTCGAATGAGAAGCGCTCTCCGTCCTCCCACTCCGCGAACATCAGCTCCATGGGGCCCGCACCCCCCCGGGCCGGGTCCCCCCCCACGGATCCGGGGCCTGGGCCGCCGGCCGGGGACTGAGGGGAGGCCCGGGGCCTGAGGGGCGAGCCGGGGCTGGGGGTGGCCGGGGCGCTCAGGGCGGCCGTGCCTGGCGAGGATCTCAGGCCTGGGAGAGATACGGGACTGGGCCTTGCCCAACAGCGAGGTGCAAACGGGGACTGTAACCAGTCTCCGAGACTCGGGGCCCGGACGTAGCGCTGGGCGGCCGGGGCCTCTAGGCAGCTGCGGCACCGCCTCCCCCATCAGCTGATCTGAACTTCCGGCCGCGCCGGCCATCACCACTTCCGCCTTCGCGCGCTTGTGAACTGGACCCGGTACGGGCGGGTAGAGGGGACATGTTTCTTTCACGGCTGCATTTTTCTGCCCACTCTCAGACACCATAAGAGGAAGTCAACCCCTGAAGGTATATGAAACAACTGCAGATTCTAGCTGTAACTCGGTGTCTATAATGTCCCCAAGGCATAAACAGCCGTCGTGAGAGTCGGGAACCGTAGGCTGTCAAGAGACTTGGACCTGTGTTATTGCCCCAACTCCAGATAGGCCACGGGGCCCGATCACCTGGGAATTGTAGTCTAGAAGCCAGACTTCAAAGGGTTTAACTGGGTAAGTACCATGGAAGAAAACCTTTGATTTGAGGAAATAGTCCTTTTTGTCAGTATGACCTTTGAATCTAGGAATTCTTAGCCTTTTTTAATAGACCCTTTAGCAATCTGGTGAAGACCATGATTCTCCTCCAAAATTGTTTGTAAATGCACAAAATAAAATACAATAAAGGACACCAACTATATTGAAAATAACAAATTATTAATAAAACAAATTTGTAACATAGTAATGCTTCCTTATTTGTACATTAAATGACAGTATTTGGATGGGGATGTAGTTCAGTGGAGAAGCTCTTGCCTACCATGAATGAGGGCCTGGATCCAATCCCCAGCAGGGGAAGAATAAGTAAATAAATCTAGCAGGAAGTGTAGTAACTACTAATTTTGAACCTAGTGATGATTATCAATTATATCTTGAGATATTTATAATGAACCGTAATATGGTGTTCAACTGCCATGATTAGGCTGGGGGCATAGCTCAGTGATAAGACTGTCTGTGGAGCATGCACAAGACCCTGGTCTTAATCCCCATCACCAAGAAAAGGAAAACAATAGTAACAAAATGTATGATTTCATACAGATACTGCTAATAGCACTGTGACTTGTTACCTACAGTCCTAATTGAAATGTTAAGTTTCGTTTGTGATTAAGGAAGTATTTTCCCCCATTCACAGCCAAAGTGCCTCAACACTGAGCTGCTTGCAGTAACTAAAAGGCTCAGTTTTTTTGTTGTTGTTTTGTTTTGTTTTTGGTACTGGGGATTGAGCTCAGGACCTTGAGCTTTCCAGGCAGGTGCTGTGCCACTGAGGTACATCCCCGGCCCTAAAAGGATCACTTTTAAACCAGGTGCAGAGGCACAGTGGACCCTTGACTTACAAACTCAATAGGTTCCATTGGCTGTTTGTAACTAAGTCAGTACAGCCGAGATCCGGATGTTTACCTGGGTACATGCTATAGATAACAAGAGGCAGATGAATCTCCCATTAACCTAATTAACCCAAGTTGTTTGTATGTCAGGCTGGTCGTAACTTGAGGGTCCACTGTACCTGTAATTTCAGCAGAGACTCTGAGGCAGGAGAATCACAAATCTGAGCTTTGTCTGGGCAACTTAGCAAGAACCTGTCTCAAAATAAAAAAAATAAAGAGGGGCTAGGGATATGGCTTGATGGGAAGGCCCTGGGTGCAATCCCCAATACCACCAAAAAACAAAACAAAAAAAACCCACCTCAGTTTGCAGCAGGCAGTTGCATAGTGCACCACCCATGGGCTATTTGGACAATGGGAAGAGGTAGCAATTGGGGGGGACAAGATTTCTCTTTACCTTAATAATCATCCCACTGGTACATTAAAAACTTCACTGATATTTTAATACACCATAAAGTACATAGAAAAAGTTAACTCAATTATGCCTGAAAAGGCATAGTACACATAAAATACTATGCAATTATATCTAAAATCAGGAGAACCTAAAAGAAAACACCTTCAGCAACCAGCAGGTAACTTGGAAAAATGAGTAAGTTAATACACAAAGAAGGCAATTACCTCAAGTCTGTTTCACCATTTGGGAGAGTGTGGTGTGGTGGTTGTGGTGGGGGTGTGTCTACCTGATTATTGCCAAATAGAATAAGAAAAAAATAGTTACTAGAACTGGGTGTGGTGACACCTGCCTGTACCCCAGCACTGGGAAGGCTAAATCAGGAGGACTGCAAGTTTGAGGCCAGCCTTAATTATATAGTGAGACCCTCCCTGTATCAAAAAAGAAAAAATTTTCTAGAGCTTTTAATTAAAAAGAAATAGGGCTGGGGGACTGGGGATTTAGCTCAGTGGTACTGCACCTGCCTCATAAGCACAAGGTCCTGAGCCTGAGTTTGATTCCCAGTACCAGAAAAAAAAAAAAACTACAAAAATGTTTTTTCCTTTTTGTGGTCAAGTAATTGAAAAACATATTTTAAACTACATGAGTCAAATAAAATATGAGTTCTGCAGAAACTCGAAGCAACAAAGTTGTGGACTTTATTCAAAGAGCACCTAACAGGAGCTATACAAAAAATATGGTCTCTAATCAGAGATGACAGAAAAAAGCTCTACATATAGGCAGACTCCAATATCGCTAGTGCATCCAAAGACAAAAGCACTAAATGGTGTGAAGGGCTTCAAAGGCAGGAAAAGACATCTTAGGGCAAATCAGAAACAAAGAACTTCCAGGATGTAGGGGAGAATATAGGGTTCAAAAAAGGAAGGAGAGCGCGTGCCTGAGAGTGTACTTGGGAGGCTGAGGCAGGAGCATTGCTGCAAGTTTGAGGCCAGCTTGGGCTACATAGTGAGTTCAGGTCCAGCCTGAACTACAAAGGGAGACCCTGTCTCAAAAAAAGAGAGAGGAGCCGGGATGTAGCTTAGTGGCACAGCACCTGCCTGGCAAGCTCAAGGCCCTGAGTTCGATTCCTGGTACCAAAAAGAAAGGAAAGAGAGCTGGGGAGTAGCTCAGTGGTACAGCACTTGCCTAGCATTTGAGAAGCCCTGGGTTCCATCCCCAGCACTGGGGGAGAAGGGGAGAAAAGAGAGAGTGTTTAATTCACAACAAAACCCAATTTCTCTTCAGAAAATTTTATTTCAAGATAAACCATAACTTCCATCCAGACCATGGCTCCAGTGAATGGAAAAAAGTGTTTTGCCTTATTTTACCCTTCAAAAGAGGCATAGTGGTACAAATGTCTTTAAAATGCCTCTGCACAGTTCTCAGAAATGACAGTCCAATTGAAAATGCGTTTCCATTTTCAGCTGAGGTGAGGTTTATTAGGAAACCTCTGTAACAACTTATTCATTTTCTTGGGAGATAAACTTCCAGACTCTCCCAGGGTGTCCTGGATTGATCTCATCTTTCGGGCTTCCTGAAAACAGAACAAAAATAGTATATATGAAGTTTGCCCTGACCTAGGGCCATAGTTTTAGTTTTTTTTGTTTGGTTGGGGGTTTTTTGTTTTGTTGGGTTTTTTGAGACAGGGTCTCCTTATGCAATTCAGGCTGGCCTTGAAATCACAGTGATACTCCTGCCTCAGCCTCTCAAGTGCTGGGATTACAGATTTGCACCATTACACCAGGCATGAGGCCCCTAGTTTTTACAATGCTTTAAAGCAAACTAAGACATTAACCAATCCAGAGAGATCCACGCCAATAATTCTTTTCAACAAAAGGGACTTAGACCCTACAAATGTATTTGAAGCTACTATGCCAGCTAGCAGTTAAATCGAGGCTGGAAACCAACTGTCCTTAGATAGCTTCACTATTTTCAGTTCTGTTTCAAACAGTGACTAAGCAGCAATTTAAACTTGTCAAAGTGATTCTCCCATTCACTACTTCATTTGACAGTCAGAAAATTCTATAACGTGGGTATTAATTTAACCTTACTTTATAAATATGGTAAGTTTGAAGTCCAGAGAAGTGAAATAAATAGGTCAAGAACGAACAGCCTTCAAAACTATATCTTCTCACGGGGAGTGGTGGCACACACCTGGAATCCCAGCACTTGGGAGGTTGAGGGAGGAGGATCACTGCGAGTTCGAGGCCAGCCTGGGCTACATAGCAAAACCCTGTCTAAAAAACAACAACAGACCTATAACTTCTCCCACGCTGGCAAGTGAATGGGGACCTTTCTTTCCTATCACCTAGAAGAAGGCAGAAAAAACCATGAACTGTATCCCCTATTCTCTTCCCAAGAAGGCACCCAGGAGCTGTCACCTGAGTCCTGGACGCACACTCGAAGAAGTCTTGGATCTCTTTTTTGCACGCACTGTCGCGGAATTCATTCTCCTTCCAGCAAGCCATCATCACCGACATTTCTGTGATACATGTCGCCTCTGGAGAAGAACTGGGGGACCTTCAGTCACACTGAGACTTTACTTTCCCGCCCTCCTTCCCAGCCATCCCTTCCCCAATCCGGTTTCCGCTTCAGGGCCTCCTCGGTTCCCACTGCTCACCGCCCTTCTCCCGGCGCCGCTCCCCGACGCGGTTAGCTAGGATGAGGGGTTTGTTGGGCTTCAGTGTAGGTTTCCGTGGGTTCGCAAGCCGCGGCAGGCGTCCTCGTAGGCTGGGCGTCGCCATTGCGCACCGCGCTCCCGGCAGCCACCGCAGCGTCGTGCGTGACCCTTGCGTGACCCTTACGGAGTCAGAGGATCAGCGCGCGGCGCACATGTCTGTTTGGGGGCTTGGTAGTGAGGACGCTGTGTTCGAATGTTCGCGGATTCTTAGCCGTGAGCGGGTTAGGAGACACCAGCTTGCAAGCTCACTCGTGAGAGCCCTGAAGTCTGGGGGCAGTAAGGGGCAGGGGCACCCAGGGAAAGGCCCCGATAAACAGACACTCGTTTCTGGTGGTGGCCAGCTGACCTAGAGGAAGACTGTCATAGACAAGGGCAAAGGGGATGGGAGCGAAACAGAATAGGAGCCTTTAGATGTTAGGTTGGGAAAGTTGTTTTAATAAATCTACAAGTGGGGCCGGGGAATTAGCTTAGTGGCACTGCGCCTACCTCACAAGCGCAAGGTCCTGAGTTTGATCCCCGGTAAGGAAAAAAAATAATAAACCTAGAAGAACTATTGTTTACTACTGTACCTTTAGGAAACCGGTCCCCCCATGCCGCAAAGAAAAATTAAGCTTATTTCTAACTACGCACTGACATTTGTAATGATCCCATTAGGTAGGATGAGGTTTAATGTCTTTCGAAGTGATTTAATCCTCTTGCCATCTCCTGTAGCTACTTGGTAGTAGTCATTCCTTTTTATAGACGTGATGGTTCATCAGACTTAGTTCTTGGGGTTGTTGATGTTGTTGATTTTGTTTTTGAGACAAGGGCTCGCTATGTAGTTCAGGCTGGTTTCAAACTCAAGGCCTCGGCCTCCCAAGTCAGTATTGGGATTACAGGCATGCACCACCACACCTGGCCATGAGGCTTAGTTCTTTTTTTTTTTGGTACCGGGGATCGAACTTGGGTCCTTGTGCTTGCGCAGTAGGTGGCAAGACCACTGAGCTAAATCCCCGGCCCTTTCAGGCTGTTCTTAAGTGATTTTTGGTTGTTTACAAAACAGTCCGGGTTTTGTAGCTGTAATCCCAACACTAGGAGGCTGAAGCAGAAGGGTTGCAAGTCCAACCAAGACCCTGTCTCAATGGGGCGCAGGGCAGGGTGGCACATAGCTCTGTGCAAAGGCCCTGGGCTCAACTGGGGGGAGAGGCACACTCAGTCCAAACATGATGTCATGAATTCTTAAGGCATTTCCAGATGAACTCCAAGAAATGTTTCTGATAATGGAAGCATAATTTGAACAAACGTAGAGTTAATAACTATTTTGTAGTAGCAATATTTACTTACTTGGATGTGTAAATTTAGCGTTAAAAGTCACTTGTCACAGATGTTCGGAATCTTCCCACTGATACCTGCATGGCTGATTTTCCTTCCCTTGAGACTCAGTTCATGTCAGAGATGCTGTCCCTGACTTCTCATACCTGAATTTACTGTTTATGGCTTTATCGACCCTCAATACCCATAGTAAAATGTAAGCACCATGAGATAAGGTAACATCTTGTATCTTGCTCATTGCTAAATTCCCAGTGCCTACAACAGTGCCAATAAATACTTGTTAAATAAACAACTGTTTGAAATATTTTTACAAGTTTTCAACTATCATGCCCACCCCTAAAAAATGATCAAGCAAAAGACATATAAAAAGCAATTTATTATACAAAATGAAACCCAAGATAATATAAAATAGCAACACTTGTAGTCAAGACAGGAGCCTGTGCTCCACCCTCACACTCCAACAGTGTAAATAAAACAAGATTCCTGTCAGACACTTCTACCACCAGTAACTACAACTGCAGTGAGTAGTACACTGCTTCTGTATAGGATGGAACAGGCTGGGCCCCAGACCAGAGAAAATTCACATTGCTTTCTTTCTCCCTAGGAAAAGCAAAGCTTTAGTTCCTAAGTGTGGCTAATCCTAGTTCTTTCCCAGGTGGAAATGTAGCACCTGATTTACTCTTTTTTGTGAGTACTTTAATTACATGGTGATAGGAAAAAAGGTGAAAGTATGAGAATCAGTACAAAGCAGGCCTACATCACCAGCAACAACTGTTCATAAACAAATGGCTCACTTTGTACATAAGTGCTAAAGGAATACTATTTGTGAACTGGTGTCCTTAGGCAAGAGAGATAAGGATGATTCTGCACCTTGCATAACCATCACTTGTTTTATTACACATAATGAAATCTGAGTCTTAACCTCTTTTTGCACTTGTACAATATATATTTTGCACTGTCAATAGGCATCTGCATTGAAAAAGATTGCAAGCTCAGAAATGAGTCCTATAGTTTCTTTTGCAGGTGCCAACTATATAAAATTTTTACTTTTTCCCCCCAGTACCAGGGATTGAACTCAGGGCTTCACACATGGTAGGCAAGAGCTATACCACTGAGCTATATCCCCAGACCTTTTAAAATATTTTTTTAAAAACAGGGTCTAAGTTGCCCAGGCTCACTTCGAAGTTGCTATCCTTCTGCCTCAGCCTCCAGAGTAGATGGAATTACAGTCATGTGCCATCACATGCAGCACAAGTATTTTTTTTGTTTCTGTTTTGTTTTGTTTTTGAGATGGTCTCGCTATGCAGCTCAGGCTGGCCTTGAACTCAAGGCAATCTTCCAGCCTCAGTCTCCCCAGTGCTGGGATTATAGGCATGCACCACCACACCTGGCTCACAAGTATATTTTTGAAGGTCTGTCCTTGCTTGTTCTTTTCTGCAAGAGACCAAACAGGGTAAGGAAACTTTCTATGCTATTATGAAGGACATCTTTTATTGAATAAAATCAAAGGCTAGGTATGTAGTTCAAGGCAGAGCATGTACTTAGCATGTACAAGCCCTGGGTTTAATCCCCACCACCACACACACAAAAAAAATGAAATGAAGAAAGGCAATGAAATCCAGCCTAAACTATAGCTTTTCTTGTTCATATCCTTAGGTGTCACAATATTAAGCATGGACCTTAGTTGTTGAAGCATCTAACATGCATCCATCTCTCTATATATGTGCATGTGTATGTGTGTACAGACACAGATATGGATATACAGATATATAAATTTACAATCAGATATACTGATAAGCTATGGAACTTCTCCAGTGATAATTCATTAATACCTTACAACGAGAGTGGCTCTAAGCTCCAAGGGATCCTTTCTTGTTCCACTATCCCATGAGAAAAAGGTCATGGTGTCAATCATTAGGCTGTATGCTTAAACTGGATCAATAGAAGAGTTTGGCAGCATCCCCAAGTCCACTAAGGCTTTTATTTGGCCAGTCACTTGTGGTGGCTTTAAACCTCTTGCCTTGCCTTCTCTTTGAGTTTAGGACCATGGGGGGCTCCATCAAAAAGTAAGTCTCAGTAACATAACATTGTATAGAAGAATATGTGTAAGTTGGACTGTTCATCAACTTTTTCTGCCAAATTCTTAAATCTAAAACAAAATAGGACACTTTGTTAAATTGACATGAGATATATTAGCTGTTGAACCCATTTATGAGATGAGAAGAAATCCGATGTAACCTAAATACAAAGCAAACTAGCAGTAAGAATGACGGCAAGATTTGTGTATCTCCATCTGAAATTGGGAGAAGAGGTCTAAAACCAAAAAGAAAAAGCCATTTAAAATAAAAACAAGCTGGGCATGGTGGCATATGACTGTAATCTCAGGACTTGGGAGGCTGAAGCAGGAGGATCACCTTGAGTTCAAGCCAGCCTGAACTACATAGAAAGATGCTGTCTCAAAAACAATAACAACAGGGCTGGGGATTTAGCTCAGTGGTTCCGGTGCCTGCCTCGATCCCCAGTACCAAAAACAACAACAACAAAATTGACACAAAAGGCAATTAATATAAAAAACACAAACCTATGAGCCAAGTGCCCTGGTATGCACCTATAGTCCCACCTATGCATATGCAGAGGAGGAGATGGGAGGACTGCGTAAGGCCAGGAATTGGAAGCCAGGCTGGCAATATAATGACACCCTATCTCACAAACAAATAAAGCCCAGCAGAGATTTTGCCTTTCTACCAAAGTAACAGTTCATAAAGCTGATGAAGAGATTATTGGAGAAAGGATTTGGTGAATAAAACAGAAGTTTTAAGGTGTAACCTGGCCCACCTTACCTCACAACTGAGAGGATGAAACAGCTAGAGAAGTGAGCAGTCTTTGAAAAACTCCATTGGGACAGTGAGTGTTTCAGGCTTCTGTTTCCCACTGAACCAAGACCTAGATGCTTCTCTCTCCTGGAGGAGAAGCTCTTTTATCACAGGCTGAGACTTTACTACACATCATTAAGATACAATATTGGAGGATATAACTGAATCCATGATAAGACAGTGTTTATTAAAGACTTGTGCAGTGGATGCTCTTTATGTGCCATGGTGGAATAAGATCTTCAGTATTCCAAGATAAAGATTAGAGATTTTGGTTCCTTTTCATGAAGATCTCATGTAGGTAATCCCAAAATTTGCTCTGCTGTGTTTCATTGTTGTAGATCATGGCAGTCAGGGCTTCCCCCTGGTACAGACCTTGCCAGTAATCTTGCAACCACATCTCCTTCCAGCTGAAATGACAAAATGGGGTGTAGATTATGGAACCACAGCACAGAGATGAGTCCTGCCTTTCTCTGGGGCAAAAGGAATTCTAAGCAGCAAATACAAGATATCTGGATAGGACAAGACTCTGTGTGAAGCCCAAATAACAGGAAGTAAGCCACAAACAAAGATACCACACAATCCACCCAATGTGTTAAAATAACTGACTTGCTGGCTCTTGGCTTTACCACTGAGTTACATCCTCAGCAGTTTGTGTTTTGCTTTGTTTTGTCTTGTTTTGTTTCAGACAGGGTCTCACTACATATTCCAGGCTAGCCTTGAACTCACAGTGATCCTCCCACCTCAGCCTCCTAAGTCCTGGGATTACAGACATGTGCCACTGTGCCTGGCCATCCTCAGGACTTCAAAAAATGTTTTTTGAGACAGGGTCCGCTAAATTGCCCAGGTGGGCTTGAATTTACAATCCTCCTGCCTCAGCCTCCCAAGTAGCTGGGATTACAGGCCTAACCTAGTGTGGCTAGAGATGAATATTTACTTTTTTTTTTGGTACCAGGAACCGAACTCAGGACTTTGTGCTTGTGCGGCAGGCGCTGGAACCACTGAGCTAAATCCCTGGCCCCAATATTTCAATATTTACTTTCTTGATGTTTTATATCTTTCCTCTAGTAAATCTTTTTTTTTTTTGGTACCGGGGATCGAACTCGGGTCCTTGCGCTTGTGCGGCAGGCATCGAAACCACTGAGCTAAATCGCCGGCCCTCCTCTAGTAAATCTTAATATTGTGTGCAACTATATACAAATTACTCCACCAGCAGGACCAAACTGCTATAGCAACACACTGTATATAAACAGCCCTCTGCTGCCATCCACTGTCCAGCCAGGCCACTACAGACCACAGTAGAAGCCTCTTTTTTCTCCTGTTTAATCTTATCACCTCTCTCTGAAAAGGTGTGGCTTGCTGCAAGTGGCTTCAATATTTTCCCACTCCACTTCCCACACAGACTTCAGCATCAGTGCCACCACTTTGTGCTACCTACAATGGTAGCTTACCTCTTTTCCAACCACACTGCCCATCAATGTTTGTTCATTTATTTTTGGTACCAGGGATCAAACTCAGGACCTTGTGCTTGTGAGGCAGGCACTGTAACCACTGAGCTAAATCCCTGGGCCTGCCCATCATTGTTAAATTTTAGTCTTTTGAAAACATTCCTTCTATGGTGAACATAACTGATCCAAATCAAGGTAGGTTTTATGTATGTGTGTGTGTATGTGTCCTGGGAACTGAATCCAGAGCCTGGCTTTGCACTGAGCTACATCCCCAGTCCATTTTCATATTTTATTTTGAGACAGGGTCTCACTAAATTGCCCAGTCTGGGCTCATATTTGCAATCCTTCTACTTTGGCCCCCCAAGCAAACTGGGATTACAGGTGTGCTCCACCACATCTGGCTTAAAGTAATTTTAAGAGTGAAAGGAAGCCTAAGGCAGTCGTGGTGATGCACACTTGTAATCCCAGCCCTTGGGAGGATGAGGCAGGAGGATCATCACAAGTTCAGGGACAGCCTGGGCTATATATAGTGCGAAAAAAAAACAACCGAAAGGAGATGGGGATGTAACTCAGTGGTAAAGGTCTGGCCTAGCAGGTGCAAGGTCCTTCAATCCCTAGTAGCACTCAAACCAAATTGAAAAAAAAAACTTTCAAAATATTCATCTCATCCTAGGCTGGGAATGTAGTTCAGTGGCAGAGGTGCTTGCCTAGCATTTCAGAGCCCCTGAGTTCCATCCTTAGCAACAACAACAACAAAAAAGGCCAGGGATTCAGCCCAGTGGTTCCGCCACCTGCCTCGAAAGTGCAAGGTCCCAAGTTTGATCCCTGGTACCAAAAAAAAAAAAGTGTACCTTTGTATCTCCACCCCCATACAGAAGGTGCTCAAGAAGCTGAGGTTGTTTTTTGGGTTTTTTTGAGACAGGATCTCAGGGTGTTGTTCAGGGTGGCCTCGAATTTACAGCGATCCTTCTGCCTCAGCCAACGGAGTGCAAGGATTAGAGGCATTCACTACCACGCCCAGCCAATGAGGTTGATTTTTAAGGACACTCCAAAATTCCTCGACTGGCATTCGGACTATTTACACCCTTGCCCTAGTTCATCTGCCCAACTTTTCTCTCTCCTTCCTCACCTCCTTGCATAGGCCCTCTGCTCTGGTTCAAGCCTTTTGTTTTGTTTTGTTTTTTGGAACCGGGGATCGAACTCGGGTCCTTCCGCTTGCAAGGCAGGCAGTGGAACCACTGAGCTAAATCCCCGGCCCTCAAGACTTTTTTTATCACTATTGCAAACACTGTCCACTCAAGGTTATTTTCATGTGTTGTCACCTTGATTGTATTTTACATCTTCATCCTTTTCAGTTAGCCTTACCTCACCAACTACTCCACACCTTGCAGGCAGAGTGAGCACATGTCATAACTTCCTCCTGCTCTCCTCAATACCTTGTACTAGTTCCTGGCTCACAGTAAGCAAATAAGTAATTTAATCTGACAGCTGCTCAGGCCCACACCAGCAACCCCTACCTGTCATTCTCAGGAATCTCTGCCACGTTGCCAAAGCCAGGTGTAGGCACCGGGCAGTCCATGTGTGAGGGCTGGGCAATGTGAGGTTCAGGGACAGGGACGTCACTGAGAGAAGCAGCATGGGCCTTCTCAGCTTCTAGCCGAGCCAGTTCATGGTCACAGACAAAACATTCGAAGCCGTTAAGGTAGTTAGGAAGTAGAGGGTCGTTCACTCCCCACTCCCGCTGCTTCAGGCTATCCAGGAGGAACTGGTTGGTGATGCCCCCGGGTTGCTTGTATGCCAGGTATTTCATATATTCCTCATCATTCTTGTCCAGAAAGTCAATAAACTCCGCCAATTTCTGAGGGGACTCAAAGTCGTCGATAAGGATGATGGAGTGGTTGTTGGGCATCCAGTCCCTCACAGAGGGGGAGCCGCGGTACACGGGCACAGCTCCCAGGTGCATGGGGCGCCAGAGTTTTTCGGTCATGTAGTCGTTGCAGATGGCGTTTTCCAGGGCCAAGTGGAACTTATAGCGGGACAAGAAGGCCAAGAGCTCAGGATCCTCGGTAGTGGCTGTGGATGTGTCTTGCAACCGCGCGGTTGGCAGCTCCTTATTCTGTAGGCACTTCCCGTACGAGTCCACCTAGGTGGAGTAGAGAGCGGCGGTCAGGAGGGCCAGTCGGTGGCCTTACGTTCCCGGGGTCCCGGGCTCCCCCCACCCCGCCACAAGCCCCCACGCACCCGGATGTAGCGCATGAGCTCGCGCACGTAGCGGTCGCGGTCTGCGGGCACGTCGCAGTGGGACTGCAGGTAGAGCACCGGCGCGTAGCCGGAGCGACGCCACTCCGTGCGCTCGTAGAGTGGAGGCGCCGCGCGGCGCAGGTAGGCGGCCCCGGGCAGCCACTGCAGTGGCAGCGGGTAGTCCGAGTGGCGGCTGAAGGTGGCGGTGAGATTGAAGAGGCGAATGCCCGGGCCGTGGCTCAGCAGGAAATTGTTGAGAGGCGACTCCTCGTGCAAGAGTACCCAGCTCTGGTGCGCTAGGCGGGGGAGCGGCGCCTCTGACGCGCGGAAGTCGGTGCCGTAGAAGAGCAGGGCCCGCGTTCGTGAGTCCGCCCGCACCCGTTGATCCCGGGACGCCACGCACGCGCCGCGCGCGCACTCTATGCGCTCTGAGTCGCCGGGGAAATGGGGAAACAGCCCCGGGCTCCACCACAGCAGCACCGGCAAGTTCACAGCCTCCTCCGGCCCCGACTGCGGGGTTCCAGGCCGGTGCGCCACCCCTACTGCGCCCAGCGCTGAGGGCGGCCGGAACACTGCGCCGTCCCACGGTTCCGCCCATGCCGCCTCCCCACCGGCCTCGCCCTCCGCCACAGGCCCAGGACCGCTGGCTGAACACACACTGAGTACCCCCAGGGCGGCCAGCACGGACCCGGCATGGCCGGCCGCCATGTCCATTCCTGCAGCCGGTACCCCGCGTCAGACGGCACCAGACCCCGCCCCGCAGTCCAGAGAGGCTTAGGCCCTACGACGCGGGACACGCAGCGCATGCGCAACTCTGCTCCAACAGCGGGCGGGCCTGAAGAGGCCACCCCAAATAAGACGAAGCTACTGGTTACATCTTATTTTATTTCTTTACAAATTAAAGATGCATTGAAAAATAAACCAATGAAGAGAAATGAGAGGTCCAGAGCAGGGGCATCCCAGGCTGGGAGCAGGCAAGCCTGGCCGCCATCGATCCTAGCCCTTGTCCTGCCCCAGGCAGTTGGGTTGGAAAATAACTGTCAGCCATTTGGTCAATACCAAAGCCCAAGTGGTGTCCCTGTGGGAGAGAACAGGGCTCCAGCTGCCTCTGCCTCTCCCCAGCAACCCCTGGCTTGGAGAAGCGTGTTTCCAGTAGGAGCTGGGTGGATGTGGGCTGGCTCTGTGAGGTATTGCAAGTTGATGATCAGGCTCCCTACAGAACCATCCAGTGTCCGGGGCTCTCCAGCTGGAAAGGAGGCTGGGATCTCTCCTAGGTGTGTTAATACACTTTGCAACTTAGTTCCCAGGCTCACTCATGTCTCTGAAAACTTGCCTCTATCCACGAAGTGATCAGCAATCATTGCAGGGGAGAGCACACGCAGTGGAAGCAGAGAGAGAAAGCTAATTAACCACCCTCAGTAACTAACTTGGTTGCTGACCACCTGGCCCAGAAGCACTAACCACTTTTCTCTCCACCACCTATGGGTATGTATGCCAGCTCTTGTGCACCTACATGTTTTATCCCTAATATAGGAAGTTGTTGATGACACTGAGCAGAATTAGCCACTCCCTGTAGTAACCCTGGGATCCGTACTACTCCTTGCCTCTGCCTGCTTCTCTTCTTGGAGGCTGGTCCAAAAGGACACATATTGCCAGGGTCTGGGTGCCTCCAAACCCCCAACACCAAATCATATACAGTGAACTGAGAAACTACATTCATTAAAACAGGATTAGCAGGAAAAGGAGGGTAGAGTGAGGGATGGGACACCTTCCATCAGCAGGACATGACAGAGTGGTAGGATACTTGAGCCCAGAAAGAAGGTGTCTCCTCATATCTCCCCCTCCCCCTAAAGAGACTGAGGTCGGCTTACGTGACTTATAAGATATGGAACTGTCCCAATTTCTCTGCCATCCTGGGGTACTTTCTGGAAGCTGGTCTGGGACCCTGTGCCATTTAACCACTTGCTTTAGCTCAGTAGCTGCCGAATCTCCTTGTGCATATGACAGAGAAAGTCCACATAGGATTCTCCCCCACTCAGGCTCTTGTCTTCCACCAGGAAGTTCTTGAACAGCATCTCCAGCTTGTCTTCCTGTTTCACCACAATAAGCTACGGCCAGAATGTGGGGTGGTGAGGCAGGGTCAAAGGGAATTAAGCACACCCAGAAATCCCATGACCTGGTCACTCACTCCCCACCCACCTCCCAGGTGAGAACTTGAAAGGTGAGAAATTCAGGGTTCAGATCAATATTACCTTCATGTAAAAAAAAAAAATTACCTTCATGTACCGTGCTCTCTGTGCCCTTAAGCTATCAATGAGACCTCGAACCTTCTTGGACAGTGGATTATCCAGAACTGGCAGGACACTCTGGAACACAAAATTAATTCATCCTTAAAGTACTCTGAGTTCAGTGAGGAAGGGGCAGCACAGACTTTAAGTGTTATCAGAAACAAAGCAGCCTGGGAGAATGACAGCACCCTCCCTTCCCCATATAAATACTGTATTGTATTGCCTGATAGATAAGGTGACATGTCACCACAAACTCCTTCTACACCCTTGACTCCTGGCCCTCACCAAGCCACTGGTGATCTGACTGAAGGAAGCAACGCTGAAAAGGCTCTGGACGACACCTTGTTGGACACTTGCTCCCACCCAGAGGAAGAGGTTGAGCCCATTCTCCAGTAAATATATATCACCACTGCTTAGACGCTCTTCAGATGCTCGAACTGCTGGTAGTTCAGTGGTACTCTCAATGGGAGACTTGGTCTAGACAAAAGCAGAGGCAAAAGGTCACCAAGGACCGTAAGACACACTTGCTCCCTTCCACACATACAAATACATAGAACTTAGAAAGTAAGTCCCCAGACACCAACTCAGTGGTCTCAGTAACTCTGTGTGAAATGAAATTCACACAGATAGGATTAACTGTCTCCCTTCCTCCTAGAAGCTCTTTTCTCAAAGCAGTGTCTCATACTCCAATCCTCAGTCGCACCAGTGGTAGAAGCCGAGGGTAGAAGAAGACATTAGTCTCAGCCACATCCATGGAAGTAACCAGCTGTCGAACATAGGCACGATCGTCAGTAGTGACCTCAGCTCCAGGCTGCAGGACGTCACTCTTCAACACACAGTTCAGGTAAACTGGAAGTAGCTTCATGCACTCAGGAAGGATCAACTGGGGGATTTATCAAAATAAAGTCAATGGTCATGAAAAATCTCTCCCAAATGCAAAACTGTCCCAGCAACCTCTCCACTAATAGGCTTGCCCTACCTGTCCTGCAGAAGAGGGGCTGGCACAGTTCTTTCTGTAACAGGCAAGGATCTGGGCACACTGGGTGATGAGAGTGTCACGCACAGTCTTTATGGGGCTATTCAGGACACCCCGGTATGCTGGATGGGGAAGGGAAGGTAGCACCCATGGTCAACCATCCATTACATGTGTGTTCCCAGCATGACACCTACCCAGGCATGTTGAATCGCTGACCAGTCTGGACCATCTCTCGGCCCCAAACCCACCCTGCCCTGCCTGCACTCTCACCAAACTTGGCCATGTAGTTGATGAGTGTGTCAGTCTCACAGTTCCGATACAGATCAGCCAGCTGGGTGCAGCAGTTCAGGGCCAGGTTGTGGATGCGGAGCCGACGCTGCCCTGCACAGCTGGTATAAAGCAGGGCACACTAGGGGAGGGAGAAAGGGGGAGCTCACACCCCTCCCTCACAAAAAACCTTAGAAGCTGCCCCTTTGCTGTATTATTAAACGGAACAAAGGCATGAGCCACTCCTCCCCCAGCTGCTTCATCCAGTCCTTGCTATCCACTCATCCTCTTCCCAGCACCTCACCAGCCCCTGCCCCCACCCGCCTGCCACCTGCAGGAGGGCTCCACTCTCTTCATTAAGTCGATCATCATGCTTGAACTCCACAGTCACTGTCTTGTCCCCATCCAGGCCCGCCAGCTCCACATCTGTTGTGTTGCTCATGTAGAAACCACCAAAAAAGTCTATGGCACGGATACCTGAAGCCACAGGGTCAGGGTCAGGACTAGAGGCATGGCAGATGCCATGTGCCTTCCTTCTCAGGTTTGCCCGCCACCTGCTCTTTAACCAGACCTACCGGTGCTCGTGCGGACCCTCATCACAGCATCAAAGCCAACAACCTTCTGTACATCACGACGAAGGTCACTCAGGAACCGTTCCTGGTCATTCTCCACCTGCAGTCCCCCAGGCCCCAAGTCACATCACTGAGTACAGAGCACACTCTGCAGTAAGTCTCCTGCCCCCTTCCACTCAACAAGCCTGCTTAATCATAATGACAGGGAGAATGAATGACGACAACAATAGTGATAGCTTTTAAGCATCCAGGTACGTGCCAGGTACCACACAGAATGCTTTACATATAATTATTTAATTCTGTAGACAAATCTTAAATAAATATTAAAACTCCATTTTACAGATGAAAGAAAAAAGAAGTAATTAAGTAATTTATCCTAGGTCATAGAGCCAGAAAATGGTGGGGCCAGGACTGATTCCAAGACCCAGTCTCCTAATGACCGCACTCTCAGGGTTCATTTCACACTCCCAACACAATTTTTAAAAAATTGTGGTCATGGGGAAGGAAATCAGGGTCTTGGCACATGCTAGGCAGGCACTCTACCACTGAGCTACACTTTTACCCTTTTTAAATTTTTATTTTGAGATGGGGTCTCATTAAATTGCCCAGGCTGGCCTCACATCTGTGATCCTTCTGACTTGGCCTCCCAAGTAGCTTGGATTAAGGGCGTGAGCCACTGTGCACTAGCAACACAATTCTTACTCGTGAGTCAGTAGCTAAAAAGCCACTCCAGATGTAAGCAAGACACTCCCAACCCTGCTGCCACCTCCCACCCAGAACCCCACATTGTACCTGAAAACAAGCATATTTGTAGACAGAGCCACCAGTGAGTTGGGGCACAAGTGAGAGCGTGGCCACATCCACATATTGGTTAGGGAAGAGGAAGAGGTCAACACAGCAGCCTTGGGCCACACACTCTTTGGCCAGAGTCTGATACACACCTGTCTGAGGCTGGAACAAAGTCTGGGGAGGAGTAGAAAAAATTTCAAATATCTCAGCTCTGCCCTCTTTTAAAACTGTGTATGTGATCATGTAATATGGGACAAATACTTTTAAGACTTCAGATCCGGTGCCAGCTACAGACACGACTAGATGTCACCGGCTAGAGCGCCCGGTGGGCGCGGGGCAGCGAGCGGCGGGCTAGAGCGTCAACAGCGCCTGGCAGCGGCTTGTTCGTGACGTCATAGTCAGTCGCCACTCTTCGTCACTGAGCCCAAAGAAGGGCGAAGGTTCGAAGGGAGTTTGAGATGCGGCTGTCGCCCTGGGCCTGTGACCTCGAATTGGCCTGGGCTAAAACGTCGAAAGACCCTAGGGTTGCTGCAAGTCAACAGTCCCCACTGGAGAAAAAGATCTTGAACCTAGGTGGGATGCATACAACAGCAGCAAGATACTTGATAACTCAGAAACGTCAAGAGGAGTATGAAACACTCTGTAGGGAGCAAGTTCGTTCTCTTGACTACTGGCTTGGCAAAGCAGAGTCCTACTATAATAAAAGAATAATGGACATAATGGAAAAAGAGGCAACAGGTAATGAAATGAAGATGAAAATGGAGGAGGAAACAACCCAAAGCATAGAGGAACAAAAGCATTACTATGTAATACAAGAGAAGGGGGGGTGGGGGGGTGGAGGAAACAGAAAGGCACATACATCAAACAGGCCAGGCCAGGCCAAAGGATTTAAGAACAGAACATTTAGACAGCTACAACCCCTCAGTGAAACGTTACCAAAAGCTACTCCAGAAAAACATGGTATCCGGAAAGCACAGAGAAGAAAGGAGGTAAATGAAAGAGAACAGATGAAAATTAAGGATCACCAGGAATGCATGATTCGAGGGAGAGAACTTACACAGCAAAGACTCAAGGAAAGAATCCTGAGAAAAAGCCAGAGCCAGCCACCTACATGTGAAAAGTGTGGGAGAGCACAGAAAGACATCAGGGAGCTTGAGAGAGTCACTGCATATCCACTTTTCCAGCCATGCAGTAGAAGTTGGGTACAAGTGACTGTTCTTATGGAAAAGTCTCAGACTAGAGAGGAAGTGGATTCAATTCTAAAACCAAGTGAAAGAAAACGCTTGGCTCTACCCCCCTTTTTGGGACATCAAATAGGAAAATAAAACATTAATAAATGTCAGTAAAGTTTCAAAAAAAAAGACTTCAGATCCACTAGCTAGGAATTTGCAGTAGTAGTAACAAGTGCTCTTAAAAAACTCCATCAAAGGCTTTGGGCTAAAATGAGGTATAGATGGATATAGGAGCGGAGGAACAGGCTGGCAGTCGCAGATGTGACACATGATAGGGAAGAATGCAGTCCCTTAAGAAAGCTAGGAGTGGACACTGAGCAGGGTTACCACCTTCCTCTATAATGGAAAGGCCTCCCCACACCTTCCAGTCCCACACCTTCTCTTTGTCTGTGTTGATGAGCTTCCTGTCATCTCTGTTCTTCAGCTTCCCTGGGGCCTCTGCAATGGGCAAGGACGTGTGGAACAGAAACAGCTTTCCTGCACACTCGGCAGCCTAGGAAAGAAGACAGCACTACTTGTTCATTTCCTTTATTTACCCATTATTCATTCATCCCCTCCTGCACCACTTATTAAGCACCAAATGTCAGACAGCCTGATTTACTGGACAGCCATCAATCACTGAAGAAAATGGATGCAGTATTCCAAGGGGCCAAAGATGATCAGAGGAAACTGAGACAGAGGAAGTTGTCAGGACTCCAGCCTTACCTTCAGGGCCTCCATCCCAGCCTGGATAACTGGTGCAAATACTGTCTCTGTTTCCCTTGTGTCTGCGAATATTTCTGGAATCTGATCCAGTAGGCTGAAGAGATAGGTGATGGAAGACAATCAAAATTGCTACCCAGATTCCTATGCCTCATTCTCAATTCCCCTAAGAGTCACCTGGCCCCCAGCTTGTGAAAATTCCTGAGCCATAGCCCCTGCCTCCCTACAGACTCATCTGCCCAACTACCTGGCCATTTTGGTTTCATTTTGCTTTTTTCAGTCCTAGGGATTGAACCCAGAGCTTCTACCATGACAGCTAAGTACTCTACTGCTGAGCTATATCCCTAGCCCTTATTTTTTATTTTGAGACAGGGTCTCGCTAAGTTACCTAGGCTGGACTTACAAACTTGTGATCCTCCTGCCTGAGTCTCCTAAGCACCTGGGAATACAGCCATGTGCTACCTGCCTGGCTTCCTGTCCTTCTATGGCTGTACCTTCTTCACTCCCCTTCTCCCCCACAATCTGGATCTTACCTGGTGATGACTGCCCGAGACTCACTGACATTGACCAGAAAGCCATCCAGCAGTGGCACAAACATGTCAGCCACATCAGATACAACCATCATCTGTGGCTGGGCCAATGAGCTCTTCACATTGTAGAAGTGGAGCACCTTATTGTAGGTGACAAAGCCAACATGGATTGCTGATTCTTCTGCCCCCTCCCTGTAGAGGATGACATGGTTACTTAGATTTGCTACCTTCTCCACCAACCACAACTTCACAACACTGGGCTCTGCCTGCTCTGTCAACCCGGACACCCCACTATTAGCCAAAGGAAAGACCTCAGCTCCACAACTCTCACCTAGGTAGGTAGTCTAACAGTGACTTAAGCTCCTCACAGAGGAGCCTAACGAGACCAGTTCTGATGGCATTGTATGAGACGTCAATCATGAAGATGAAGGCAGGAGGGCTGGGTAACTTATTGTTCTGCAAAAGGAGGAAATGTTGGAAGGAAAGGGGCCAGGTGAGCTGGACAGTTGACGAGAAAGTAGCCAGCATCAAGGGGACAAGGAAGGGGTGAAAGAAACGATAACAGCAATCCTTAGCTGTTTCATTATCCTCCACCCATGGCTCCTCCCCGTCCCCCTTCTCTCACCTTGCAGTAATCTACAGTGGCCAAGAATTCATAAGAGCCCAGGGATAGCTCAGGACGGTCATAAGCATCCACACGTCTGCCGGTGTGATCCAGATGTTGGAAATACTGGGGAGGAACTGTGGGGAGTATGCAGTGTGTTACTCAAAGGGGCTATCCTCAATTTTAGTACACTTGGCCCTAGCTGAGCTGCCTATCACTCCACTGCCCCATATTCCCACATCCCCACATATGCCCTATGTTTCCAGCTCCTGGAAAATGGACCCTCATCCATCTAACTAGAAAGGAGAACAGTTAAGATGTCATCAGGACCTTCCCCCCAAATTCCAGCTTCTACAGCCATACCATCATTGATACAGCTGCAAAAGCAGCACTGGAAGCGCCTCCCTCCCTCGATGAACTGCATGAAAGGGCACATGTATGCTTTGCAGCGATTGCAGCGCAAGGGGCCAGATTCCCCATGGTCTACGACATACGGTGAAGCCTAAGGAACAAAGGGGAAAGGGTCAGAGATAGAGGGAAACTACAGTGGTTGAGACATATGGCAAAGATGAGAAGGAACAACTGGAGGGAAAAGGGGGATGGCTCAGCTATTCTGCCTGGGGAAGGAGCACAGTGGAAAAGAATGAGGACATAAGAGGAGGGTAGTGATCATAGGAGAATGTCCAAAGGAATCTACGTTCCACCATTCCCTCTTTTTACTCTCATCCCAGACTGTGAGGTTGGCCATAGAAAGCCAGGGGCTGTTTAGGGTGTACAAAGATTAACCAGGATTTTTGTTTCTGGCCTTACACACACATCCCTTCCTCTCCTGCTCTAGGGATCTTGGCTCCTGCTTTCTTCCCTGACACTTCTCCCCCTCACCCAATTAATAAGCCAGGTAGATGTCACCCTGTAGATTATGAGAACAGTGTCCAAGCATCCCCACTGGGAATGAGAAAGAGAAAAGAAAAAAACACAGAGGAAGACAGAGAAGCAGAATATAAACTGCTCCTTGAGCTTCCAGGTCCAGAGAATTGTATCTTAAATTAGATTAGTGAGGCATGAACATGGGGGTAACCTGTCAAGGCCTGAAAAAGAGTCGCCTTGCTCTTTTTTCCACACTGGTTTCAGGGACCAGGAGTGACAGATCAGGGTCCAAGCCATGTGAGGGATGCAGTATTGAATCCTAATATACCTTTTCTCTTATATGCTGTCTTAACATCCTTAATCTACTAGGGTGACAGGACGGCATATAAGGAAAAGAATGGTTATCTTCTGGAGATGACCATGCAATGAGAGGTTCCTATATCCATCTGTCTTCCCCAGTTCCTCCTATGAACCCTGGTCCATTTCTTGGGCCTTTGCTATCATCCCTACTATTCCTCCAGCCTTGGGCCCTGGGAAGGAAAGCTACTGAAGACACTGCCCTGTCCTGCCTAATCAAGATGTCTTCCACCATGCCAACCAGGATCACCCCGGCCCCCTTCATTATATTTTAGCCCTTTCCCTGACTTACCTCCTCTTGGGGCAGCCTTGCCAGGGGCTTGATGACAGCTGCCAGGGGCACCTGAGCCTGCTTAGCCATGTCAGACGTGCAAGGGATGTTATAGGATGTGCATCGGATGTATCGGGGACTTGCATTCCCTGAAAGAAGAGGTAGAAGTCCTGGGTCAGATCACAGAATCCCTGAAGATACCAGTCCTTCATCAGAGATTTAACCCATCACCTCCACAAGTGCTTGAGTTGATGGCAGCTTTCTCCGTAGATGGACTTGGTAGAGGAACTAGTCTTTGGTTAAAGACTGCCAAAAGCTCCAGCCAGAAGCTGGTAACCTTGGAGCAAAGGTCCCCGTAGGGAGGATGTATGCCCTTCTCACCTTGGTCTTTCACCAGGAAGTTGGTGGTGACTAAGGGTGGCACCTGGCCCCGTATACCAGTAACAAATGGCTCTGAAGCCCGGTTGTTCCTATCATCTTCAATGACCTGAATCTGCAGAGAAGAAGTCAGATGAATGAGATGATAGAAGAAAAGGACGTGCCGACTCCCACAGTGCCAAGAAAAAGAACACAGAAACTTAACAGTTTGTCAAAGAACACTTCATGGGCTAGGCCTGCTCTCCTTCCACTCTACAGCCAGCAGCAGGATGCTGGATAGGCCACACTGAGAATGAGCTTCTTAATGAACTATTCCCTAATCCCCAATCGAAGATGAGCACCCTCTCACTCCTCCCACTCCAGGAAAGTTCCAGCTCTGATCCCAGACCATTAGACATGTTTAGAGTCCACATCCCTCCCCCATGGAGCCTTCCCACCTCCTCCCCACAAGACACACTGAGTCAGAGCAGGAAAACAGACAACGGTACCATGTAAAAATGATTCTACCTGGAATGATTCTACACTCAATGAAATTAACAAAGGACGGGGTGAGGAGAGAATTAAACAGCCAGAAATGACCAGGTAAGGTGTGGAAGCAGATGCTGCCTTCCTTTGAGGTAAGCATCAGTGTGCATATATGGGAGAAGAAGCTATGTATCCAATTCTTATAGCCCAATCCTCAGCCACCCACATATTGGGGGGGGGGGGTACCGGAGATTGAACTCAGGACCTTGCGCTTGCGAGGCAGGCACCAGAACCACTGAGCTAAATCCTCGGCCCGCCACCCACATTTTGACAGACACAGTGAAAATTAAATAAACAAACCAAAAAAAGGATATGCAAAGCTGGTAATCAAACCTTTGTGCAGGCTGGCGACCTTTGGTCAGTTACTTCAAGATGAGTTTGATAAAGCCCAAAAAGTAAAAGCCAAATAACTAACCAGCAGCAAAAAGGGGTAACGCTTAGAAATATATCAGACTCTCCTGATGAGAAAGTGGCCCACACTTTCCCAAACTAGCAATCCCCTCCCCTGTAAGAAATGCCAGTTTGGGACATCAGGAATCTGTACATTAGTAGCCACCTACACAAAAGTTTCTCTACAACAGGCTGTAGACAAACCCAAAGTGAAAAGATCTATTGCTCGACATTTGTCCTGTTCCATCACATGTCATAGGCAGGTTCCTGGAGGAGCCAGCAGAACTAAAACTGAAACTGAGTATGTCATCTGGCCATGCCCAAAGAGCCTGACCTTCTACCACCCCATACTCAAGGCACTGCTAACAGCTTGCTACCTCTTCATTACATGGTGACTTGAGGCATGCATATCCTTCAGCTTGGAAAAGTGAGGATCTAGAAGGGCTAGGGGAAGAGAATGGAGAGGGATGGACATGGTGGATGAGGTGGTGATGAGGTCACAGGCATGCATGGGTGGCACAGGGATGACAGGCGCACACAAACCCACCCCCTGCACTTACTGGACTAGGAATGGCATCAGGGTCTATTCTGTGCCTGGTTTTCTGCTGAGGAGGCAGCTCATTGAGTTGCTTTTAGTGTTTTAATTTTAAAGGCAGCAGGGGAATATAGGGAGGGAGACAAAAGAACAAGAGGCAGATGTTACTTCTCTCAACCCTGATGAGTTAGACATGAACAGCTGGAGCCCAGCTCAGACTGCTGAAATCAGGCCCTCTTACATCTGAAATTCCAAACCTCAGTGGCTCAGAATATGATGTAGCAAGATGTGGAGAGGGAGCAAACAAGAAGCAAGCAGGCCTTTATAGGAGATGGTGAGTGGGAGAAACCTTAAGAAGAGGAATGTTCCCTCCAAAAGGCCAAACCTCCCATCTAAGATCTTTTCTTATATGGGAAGAAGCCTCCCTCACAGCCAATCAGATTCCCCCACTGTAAAGGGGGGAAAGAAAGAGGGACTGCTCAATCCTCACAGGTTCCTCTTAGCCAATAGGCTCCCTCACCATGGTGGGTCCTCAAAGGAAGAGGGAAAAGAACAGAATGAAATATGACAATGGCTAAGCATGGTGGGTAACTGACACAGCAATGTTACAGACAGGACTATAAAGTGGCCCCTACACAGGAGTACAGTACAGTCCCAGCCTCTATCCCAAGTCTGCTCAGGAGAGACTAAGGATGAGTGAGGTTTACCCACTTCTTCGGAGAAGCAGCTGCCTTGTGCCCATGGGTCCTTACACACACACACTTGCCCTCATACACTGTGATTCACTTTTCCTATCCACACCACAAGGGCTACCAATACAAGTACTGGGAACTTCCTTCTCCAGCACTGTTCAAGTAGGAATAAAGTGCAACCAGTGAGGCTGCCCTCTTCTGAACATCTAACACCAGAGAATTCCCACCTGCTCTCCATTAGGAAGAATGCTAAACTACTAGGTCTAGGAGCACACGACCCAGGGCTGGGGATTTAGCTCAGTGGTTCCGCTGCCTGCCTCATAAGCACAAGGTCCCAAGTTCCATGCCCAGTACCAAAAAAAAAAAAAAAAAAAAGAGCACACAACCCAGTCACTACTCCACTGAAGGGCAGAGATGACCATGCCATGTATGCCCAATAGTGACAGAACATAGCCCTCCATCCAGAGCTTTACTGACACTGCTGCTCTCTCCTGGTTTCGTTTCCTTCCCTGTGCAGCTGTGGAATCAAACTGCCCAAGAATGAAAAAGAATTCTGAAACTTCAAATTGTTCAAAGACTCAAAAATTACTTCTAGGTTTTAGGTCCACAAAATGAATAAAAAAGGAAAATTATCAGAACATGCTGTGCAAACATCTCATCTAGGTCGATTGGCTTATCTGGTAGACATAAACCCCTTTCCCACATAAGCATCTACTTACAGGGCTGGGGATGGCATCAGGGTCCAGGCGCTTAGGAGGCAGTGGCTGAGGAGGCCCAGGCTGACTGCCAAAAGTGGGTGCCCCAGGGTAGGGGCTTCCATAATTGGGCTGTGGGCCCCGGCCTGGTCCAAAGGAACCTGAGAGACAAGGGCATAAGTTGATGAACTTACTTGTCCCTTCTTAGGGCCTCACGGAAATGACTAGAATCCTACAAACAAAGAATTACAAGGTACATTAATGCCTGGTGAAGTCATTCACAGAGACCACTATCTGAACTATGAGGAAAAAAGAATGTCCTGTAAACCTCACACCCAAGGAATGATGCCTTCAAGCTATCCATCTAGACCTTGGGGAAAAACTCACCATTTTGTTGCAGTTGATAACCCGGCTGCTGGGGGGAGTGCATAGGTGGCAGTGGTCCTTGGGGCCCAGTCATCTGGGTGCCTGGGGGCAGAGCTTGAGGAAGAGGTGAGGACACATGGTTGGGGTGGCTTATGGGGACACCCCCAAAACCCTGTCCAGGTGGAAGTGGACCAGTCATCGAAGGCATCCGAGGACCCCCTGAAGCTGGGGGTTTGAAGCTGGAGGCCAGTGGGGGTGCAGACCGCTGGGGAGGCTGAACCCCAGGATGACCTTGGGTCTGGCTAATGGGAGGAGCCTGGCCCTGAGGATAGGAGCCATATGGACCGGAGTTAGGGAAACTTCCTGAGGCTGAGGCCAGCGATGTTGGTGGTCCTGAGGAACAGAAGAGGTAGAGTCAGAAGTCATTCTGCCTCCTTCAGCAGATCGCTTCCCACAAAAGAGGGGGGGATTATGGCTGCCCCATCTTCTGGAGCTCAGAGGCACAGGAAATAAGAGATCCAGGGGTACCCCCAGAGCCTCATGCCTCTAGAAAGAAGGCCACAGTAATATTCCTGTGGTCAGCACTACTTACCATAGCCCAGCCCTGAAGGGGGAGGAGCTGGGGCCATAGCACCACTGATCTGCATTCCGGCCAGCTGGGCAGTCACCTGTGCACTTGTCGGGGGAGGGCCATAGGGCTGAAGCACAGCTGGCTGGCTGACTGCAGGAGCCAATGGGGATCCAAATGGCTGAGACCCAGGGAGCCTATATAGAGAAGGAATGCAGAGGTGATTGGTGGGCTGGGCTACCTGCAAAGATGTAAGCAATGCCACATCACACAGGAAGCTACGTTGTTTGGCATTTTACCTCATCCTGAGCTCTTTTATGGCTTCATAATCCTATATTTGTGGGCCAATGACACTTCTGATTATCTACACTTGAATTATTTGTAGCAAATCTTATTTTCCACTAGATTCATTCCATAAACATATGGCAAGCACTCTCGAGTCAAATACTATTTAATCTGCTAATTAAATTATTTCCTCCTCTGCCCCAATCCTTTGTTGACAAACTACCTTAGTTTTTTTGGATTCTTTTTGTTTTGTTTTATGGTACTTGGGATTGAACCCAGAGCCTTTGTACTGAGCTACATCACCAGCCCTTTTTGTATTTTTTGAGACAGGGTCTCACTAAACTGCCTAAACTGAGCTCAAACTTCCAATCCTCCTGCCTCAACCTCCAGGAATGCTGGGATTACAGGAATGCACTACATCTGGTTCTGAACGACCTTGCTTTTTTTTTTTTGGTACTGGAGATCGAACTCAGGACCTTGTGATTTCAAGGCAGGCAGCGGAACCACTGAGCTAAATCCCTAGCCCTACATTGCTTTTTTTAATCTGAAGCCTCAGTAGACTTGAAAGAGAGGGTACACATTAAGCACGCATACAACAAGCACTTGAAAAATCCGAGATCAAACAAATCCAGTCCATTGTTCAACTTTAAAGTAAAGTATTAATATATTCTGGGACAGGTGTTACAATAATCTATAAGGTCAGAGGAGCATGTCAGCTGAGTTTGGCAGTTTATACTAATTAGAGGGATGGTGCTAACTGTACCAAGAAAGGGGTAGAGAAATAACATAAACCAACTGGATCTATCTTAGCAACAGCTAAGGTGAACAATGGCATGATATAAGACAGCACATTTAAAAGTAAATACAGGGGGCTGGGGATTTAGCTCAGTGGTTCTGGCACCTGCCTCACAAGCACAAGGTCCTGAGTTCGATCCCCGGTAAATAAATAAAATTTTTTTTAAAAAGTAAATACAAAATAATTCCACTATCACTGCATACCAACTACAGGCAACTGCACTGGTGTTTTATGGTGATATTACCACAGGTCTCTACAACACACTCCTGACAAGACTTATGGAACGCATCAAATTCTTCCCAGTGCAGTCTCTCCCACTGCAATTCTTTTTTTTTTTTTTTTTGGTACCGAGGATCAAACTCGGATCCTTGCGCTTGCGCAGCAGGTGGCGAAACCACTGAGCTAAATCCCCGGCACTGCAATTCTGATTTATATTTTCTGCCTTATTTTATCTCTGCTAAACAACTAGTACCTGATATTTGGTGAGCTTCTATTAGTCCTTCAGTTTAATACATTGGCATTCATTCAATAAACTTGTATTTCCTTCCCAAGAATTTAACTAGTGAACTTTACCTGCTTAAGCTCTTTGTTGGGCTTTGTATTTGTCTTCCACAGCACTAAGCATACTATTAGCCCTATGCTAGACATTCCAGAAGTCCTTGTCAGAATAATTCCATTCCATGGTACTGCTATCAACTAAGTCAGTGCCATTCTGTCACATGCCCTAGTAACAGTGAACCGCCGTCACCTTACCTATGAATTAAATAACAACTCTAAATTCTTTATTTAGCCTACTTTTATAGCAAAATAATGAGGGAGACAGAGAAAACAAGAAGCTAAACAATGAAAGTCTAAGTAACAGGCTGAACTAGAATTTATTCCCAGATTAAATGTAAAATAAAACATAAATAGAAAAAAAGCACAAAATATATATGTACAGCTGAATAATTATAATGTAGCCACTCGTGGAACAAAAAACAAACTCAAAAAACAGAATACACTAGCATTGGGGCTGGAGATTTAGCTCAGTGGTTCCAGCGCCTGCCTTGCAAAGGCAAGGTCCTGAGTTCCATCCCCAGTACCAAAAAAGAAAAGGGCCAGGGATTTAGCTCAGTGGTTCTGGTGCCTGCCTCGCAAGAGCAAGGTCACAAGTTTGATCCCTGGTACCCCCCCAAAAAGAAAAAAAAAAAAATCAAAGGCCCTGCACGCAGCTCCCTAAAAATTACCCCGTCTTTATGCACGCATGTGTGTGTGGACTGGGTATTGAACCTTGGGGTTTCCCCCTGAGCTACATATCTCCAGTCATTTTTGTATTTTTTATTGTGTACCCAGGCTGATGATCCTCCTGCCTCAGCCTCACAGAGTGCTAGATTAGAGGTGCTTATCACTATATCCAGCCCAGTTTTTCAACTTTATTTTTATTGCCCCCTTCCTGTTTTTCAACTTTTTAAACAGAATCATAACATACATCTCTTTGGATTTTGTGTCTTTTGTTCAACCCATTTATGAAATTTATCAATGATATCACCTTTAGCTACAATTAATTTCTCTTTCATCACTAAATATTATTCCACTCACTAAATATGGCTTCCAGTGAAGGGGATTGAAGCCAGTGTCTCACTAGCAAGCCTAATTTTTGGTTATTACGAATAATGTTGCTATTAACATTCATTCATTCATTCATTCATTTTTGAGATAAGGTCTTGCTATGTGGCCTAGTCTGGCCTCAAATTCCTGGGATGAAATAAACATTTACATATACATATATAGAGTCCACCAAAAAAATGTATACACACTTTAGGAAAAGAAACATAGTATGATGTTTTTTCAACAGATGGTGTTACCCTTGTATGGGGGACCCTAGAGGATGTCGTATTGCAGAAAACCCACTACACTGTTGGCCCTTAGAGAAGAAATTGAAAATGCATGTGCACCAATCTCAATGACCAAGGTTACCCAAGCATCAATTTGGTGTACAAATAAATGCTTGGAAACTAACTGCCACCACTGTGAGCACCTCTTGTAATTGTAGAGGCCAAAACTGACTTGTATTAATATCATGATGTCTCAATCAACTTAGTATTAAAATATTTATACAAGTTTTTCTTTTCCTGAAGTGTGTATACATTTTTTGCTGGACTCTGTATATATAGTTTTTTCTTTTTTGAGACAGGGACTCGCTAAATAGTTCATGCTCCCTTGAAATCACTACTGTATACAGCACAGGCTGGTCTCAAACTCACTGTGATCCTTTCCCCCACCCCAGTACCAGGAATCAGACTCAGGATCTTGTGCTTGCAAGGCAGGCGAAGTACTAGGGAGCTAAATCCCCGGCCCTCACTGTGATCCTTCTGCTTCAGCCTCCAGCCCTGGGCTTATAGGCAGCTTTGCCTACAATCACCATGCCCAGCTTTGTTTTATTTTTTGAGAGAAAGTCTTACTATGTAGCCCAGGCTGGTCTCGAACTCACAGCAATCCTCCTGCCTCAGCCTCCTGAGTGCTGGGACTATAGGCATGTGCTAACATGCCCTGCTTCTGGCTTTGTTTTCTTTGAGACAGCATCTCACTATCTTATCCAGGCTGGCCTTGAATTCCTAGGCTCAAGCAAAGCTCCCTCCTTAGCCTCCTGAGTACTGGGAGGACAGGCACATGGCACATACCTGGCTTTTCTTTTCTTTTTTTGAGACAGGGTATCGCTATGTAGTTCAGGGTGGCCTTGAACTCACTATGTAACCCAGGATGGCTTCAAACTTGTGGCATTCCTCCTGGTTCAGCCTTCCTAGTGCTGGGATTACAGTCATGTGCCACCATGGCCTAACCATTAGTTTTTGTTACATATCTATGGGTGAAACTGCAGGGTCACAAGGTATACATATCTTTAATTTTAATAAAAAATGCCAAATTATTATCCTTTAAAGTTATCCTAATTTCCATCCTACCACCATTGGATATGAATTCCTATTATTCTATATCCTCGGCAAATTTTTTTTCCCAATAATAGGAGAATGAGTCCAAGGGCACTCTCTAGCTACATCTCTAGCCCTTTTTACAATTTTTTTTTAATTTTAGGAAAGGGTATCCCTAAATTGCCCAGACAGAAGTTGAACATCTTTTTTTTTTGGTACCAGGGATCGAACTCAGGGCCTTGCGCTTGCAAGGCAGGCACCAGAACCACTGAGCTAAATCCCCGGCCCTGAACATCTTTTTATTTTTATTTATTTATTTATTTATTTATTTATTTATTTATTTATTTATTTATTTTGGTACCAGGGATCAAACCCTGTTCCTTCCGCTTGCGAGCCAGGCAGTGGAACCACTGAGTTAAATCCCCAGCCCTGAACATCTTTATTTATTTATTTATTGTTCGTTTATTTGTTTATTTTTGGAAAATCTTTTTTAAATATGTTCTTTGAGCTGGGTATGGTGGCACGTGTGAGGCTGGCCTGTGAGTTCAAGGCCAGCCTGAATTGTACAGCAAGACCTTGTCTCAAAGATCCAAAACAAGGGCCAGGGATTTAGCTTAGTGGTGCTGCCACCTGCCTCACAACCACAAGGTCCTGAGTTCAAACCCTGGAACCAAAAAAAAAAAAAAAAGTTCTTTGGCCATTTGTACATATTTCTTCTTTCACAAATATCCTATTCTAGTTTTTGTTCATTATTAATTTTTTTTTGGTACCAGGGATCGAATTGGGTCCTTGCGCTTGCGCAGCAGGCGGCGAAACCACTGAGCTAAATCCCCGGCCCTTGTTCATTTTTTTTTCAATTGGACTGTCTTTTAAAAAAATTTCTATTAGTATATATTTACAATACATAATGATTACATTCATCATGGGGAACTGGTACATGTACAGAACACATCCAATTCTTTTTACTGTCCCTTTCTCTCTTTTTCCTGCCCATGGATTCTTTCTCTTATGATTAGTCAGAGCTCTTTATATAGTGTAGATACTTTTTTTGTGGTGTTAGGATTGAACCTAGAGCCTTGTGTGTGCCAAGCAAGTGTTCCACCACTGAGCTATATCCCCTATTATGTCTATTTTATTTATAAGTATCTTTTTCATTTTGGCAACTTGTCTTTCTAATGTGCTTTCCCTCAGTTTCCCTTTCTGATTATTCTCATCAGCACAAAGTCCTCTCAAAAAAACCCAAAAAACCAAAAAAAAAACCAAACTATGTTGACCTCAGTGGTAGAGCACTGCTTGGTATATGTAAGGTCCTGGGTTTAAACCCCAGCACTGGAAAAAGGGAGAGGGAGGAGCTATTGTAGAAACAAACCAAAATTCAGAATGGAGCCAGGCATGGTGGTACATGCCTGTAATTTGAGCACTCAAGAGGCTGAGGCAGGAGGATGGCTGGAAGTTCGAGGCCAGCCTGGCCTTCATAGTAAGTTTAAGGCCACCCTGAACTGCATAGAGAGACCCTGTTTCAAAATAACAACAACAAAAATCAAAATGGATAAACAAAATGTGGTGTATCCATACAATGAAGTATTACTCAGCTAGACATTACCAAAAAATTGTGATCTACATTGTGTTTCTCTTCCTTCTTTCCTTTCGTCCCTCTGTCCCTCCCTGCTTTCCTTTCCTCTTTCCCTTCCTTCATTGTGGTAGTCCCAAGGGTAAAACCCAGGCAAAGGCAAGTGCCATACCACTGAGCTTCACCCACAGCCCTTTTTTATTTTGAGACAAGGTCTCACTAAGTTGTACAGGCTGGCCTCAAACTTCCAATCCTCCTGCCTCACCTCCCAACTAGCTAGAATTACAGGCATCTACCACGATGCCTGGCTCTATTTCTACCTCAGTGTCTATTTTTCTCTTTAAATATCTTTCTAGGCTCATTTTCCTTTTTAACTTATGTCTATCCCATAGTTTTTCAACCAAGTGTGTATATTACTAACTCTTGATCTGAAATGTCTTTAATTTGGCCTTTCTCTTGATAAGCTACATAGTTCTAAGCTGGTAACTATTTTCCTTTAATGCTTTTAAGTTATTATTCTTTCTTTTTTTTGGTACTGGGAATTGAACTCAGAGCCTCAAGCTTGCCAGCCAGGCACTGCGGCATTGAGCTACATCCCTGGCCCTTAAGTTATTATTCTATCTGCTGCCCCCTAATAATTTCTACTGACTCTAAACAACTGTTTTCCCTCCTCAGAGAAGGCCGTATGGCCTCAGTTAAGGGAATGTGATTGTTTCCTGTTTGCCTCTGGAAGTACCCATGATAAACTTTAAAAACAGCTAAAACACAATTTCCATACCATTAGAATCACTCCTTTAAATGCATAGCTTGCTAATTTTCTTCAATCATCGAACAGAATCCAACTTGGAACATTTTTATTACCCCAAAATGTTCCCTCGTGTCCATTTGCATCCTCAAGACCTTTTTCCCCCACTTACCAACAGCCAACCTGAGAAAAACAGCACTCCTTATTGTCACCCTTTGCCAGCATGCAGATCTTCCTAGTCTAACTGTTCACTGAAGGCACCATCTAGATATAAACTTTCATAAACAAGATCTCAATTCGAATCTCACTTCTCAGAAAAGCCAAAGAACTTATCTTCCATTCCCAGTACCTGCTTAAACTTAAGTCCTTGGGTTTATTCTGTTCTTCACTTTTCTCCTTTCCCTCTTTCCCTTCCTTCCATCCATTCATCCACCTATCCATCTATCAAGACAGAGTCTTGCTATGTTGCCCAGGTTAATCTTGAACTCCTGGCTTCAAATGATCCTCCTGCCTCAGCCTCCTGAGTAGCACCAGTGCCTGCCACCACACTGGGCCATCTTGGATTCTCAAGACGATAATTCCCACCAAATTCACAGGCAGCCACAGACTCAGCTTATCACTCTGATTTTTGATCTCTAGAACTCTAGAACTTGATCTTTAGAACTCTAGACCTCTAGAATTTTCTTTTTCTTTTTTCTTTTTTTTGGGGGGTGGGGGCTACTGGGGATCAGACTCAGGACCTTGTGCTTACAAGGCAGGTGAAGGCACCACTAAGCTAAATCCCTGGCCCAGGATTTCACTTTCTAAAAGCTTAACTATGAACTTGAAAAAAAAAATTTTTTTTTTGTTTATATTTCATCTCTGCTTTCCAGATTACTGTAGAAAAGGGTTTTCAGGTTACAATGATCTATCACCCAGCTGAAACTCTGACCCACTTGGACTAGGCAGTTTTCCTCATTTCTACACTGAAACTGCATTTATTAATGAGAACAGTCTCACCAAATCCAATATTCAATCCTTAGGCCCTCATCTCATCACTCAGCACCCACTGACCAACTGATTGCTTTTCTGCCTTCCTGAAATACTCTTCATCTGACTTCCTAACACCACACTCTCTGGCTTATACACTACCCCACTACTGTTCTTCCTCATTGTCTGTTCATCTGATTGGTTTCTGCAGTGGTGGGGCGCAAACAAGGGCTCTACCACTGAGCTGCACCACCAACCCTCACCCTTAAACTTGCTATTCCTCATAGCCAACAAATTTACTTCTACTTCAGGGCCTTTGCACCTCTTGTTCCTTCTATCCAGCAGACTCTTCCCCCACATCTTTGTGCAGCTCACTTCATCTCCTCACTGAGGTCTCAAATACTTCAGAGAGGCTTTTCTTGACTGGCATGATTTAAACAGTTCCAAACTTTTCCTCACACTATGTTATATCTTTAAGTTTGTCTATATGTTATCTTCCACATATCCTACTCATCTGCCTTATCCAGACTTATGTTCAGCGCTAAAAATGTATAATTTGGACACTTCAGCAACTCTGCCAATTACCACATTTTCTACCCACAGTTGTACTTTATTTACCAGAAAACAAATAACCTTCTGTCAGAGATGACTTCCCTCCTTTAGTGAACTCTCATGCAAACGGGTTTATAGAGTCATGCACCAATGAAGTTTTTCATTTCATAACTGGTCATGCACAAACTTAACCAATCAGTCTACTAAGTGCCTAATGTAGAAAAAAAGGAGAAGCTGGCAGAGACACAACTAATCCTGACATTGTCTTCTTCCCATTTCACCCTTAGCAACCATTATTGAAAATGTATGTCTTCAAGGAAAAACAAACAAACAAACGCAGAGTGTGGTGGTATATGCCTGTAATCTCAGCTACTTGGGAGGCTAAGGCAGAAGGCTTCCAAGTTTGAGGCCAGCCTGGACAATTCAGTAAAACCCTGTCTCAAAATAAAATAAAAAATGAATAGGAGCCAGTCATGGTGGTGCATGCCTATAATACCAACACTCTTGGATGATGAGGCAGGAGGATCTCAAGTTCAAACCCAGTTTGGAGAAATTAGCAACCTGTCTCAAAAGTAAAAAACAAAAAACAGTAGCCATGCTGCTTAGTGCAGAGGCCTTGGGTTCAATCCCCAGTACCACTAAATAAACAGATACATAATTAATTGAAAAGGACTAGGAATTTAGCTCAGTGGTGGAGTACTTGCCTAGCATGCAGAGGCCTGGGGTTTCATCCCCAGTACTGCAAAAGAGGGGTTAAAAGACAAGAAGGCCAGGAATGTAGCTCAGTGGCACTGCACCTGCCTGGTAAGTGCAACGTCCTGAGTTCCATCCCCAGTACCACAAAAAAGAAAGAGAAAGATTCCCTGTCTCAAAAAAAAAAAAAAAAAGAAAAGAAAAGAACAGAACAGAATAGAACTCAGGTTCACTGAAAAAGAGTAATATGTAAAAGAGCACAAATATTAAGATAGGTCAGTAATCCACAGGGCTGGATATCAGCAGCACCTATAACCTAGAAAAAAGATGACAAAATAGAAGAGGACAAAAGGGAGAAAGGGATCTACAAAAGAACTACCACTTTTAGGTTAACCCAAGTACACACCTTGGCGTGGGAACAGTGGAAGAGCTGGGTCCATTCTGTATATCACCTTGGCCAAACTGGCCATACCCAGCTTGGCCACAAGAAGCCTGTGCTGTCGAGGTTGGAGGGGCCCCTGAGGAGGGTGGGGCTCTTGACATACCTGAGGGTAAAGGACAGAAAGTAATGATTAGGAAATAATTTTCTCCTCCTCCCTGAACCAGGAATGCAAAGCAAGAATCAATAAGCTCAACTTTTGCTGACCCAATACCACAGCTGCATGGTGAACAGGACATTATCAACATGGAACTCTAGGTACAGCAGTACTCTGAACATGGATCCCTTCCACCCAGCCTAAACTCTGCCAGACAAGTACACCAGGGTGAAGCTGTAGCCAGAGCCACAAGAATGTAGGGCCTTCGGCTGAGCATAGTGGAACATGCCTATAATCCCAGTACTCAGGGGCGGAGGCAGGAGAATCCCTGTAAGTTCAAGGCCAACCTAGGCTACACAGTGAGTTCAAGGCCAGCCAGAACTACACAGGGAGACCCTGTCTCAAAAAAGAAAAAAAAAAAGAAAAAAAGTAGGGTCTTTCTATGGTCACCATACTCTCACTCAACTCAGGCCATCCTACTGTCCTTACCCTATACAAAAAGATCAACTGTTTCAAGGAGAAGATCATATTCCAGAACTCAGAAACTTAAGAGCATATATGACACAAGTGGTATAGAAGTTAACAAAGTAATAAACTGAGCTAGGCTGTAGAGAGAGGCACCTTTTTAAAAATTATTTTTAATTCTCTACAGTGCTAGGGATCAAATAGGGCCTCACACATGCTAGGCAAGTCCTGTACCACTGACCTACATTCTTCTTGCCCTAACCATAACCTTTTTATCCACTTCTAACTGTGGAAACTTCCAACAGCACATGGTTTAGGAGCGTTCACCCAGGACAGGGGGCCTGTCCTCCCATTAGTGCTGCCACCTGTGTCCTCACAAAAGCTAGACTCCATCCTTTCCATTCATCAGAGCTGCCATCAAGGCTACTTCTATTCCCCTTAGCTATTCTTCCCACAGGAAACATGGGACGAATGACATTAGTTACTTAGCAAATCACTCTGGAAATTTGCTGACCTCTGTTCAAACAATTTTTTCTTTTACTCTGTCCTTGTCAGAGATTAGATATTACAGAACCTGCCTGGGAGAACACGATTAATCTGAATTTGCACACTAACCATGAAAGAACCAGATAGATTTTCCTCTCAGTGACAAAGCTCTCTCTTGAGAGAATGACAAACTCCATTTTGATAAATCAGGACTAGACAGAGCAGAAGTGGACTCTGTCCAGTCAAAGTCCCAACCAAGGATAAGGCTTCTAAAGAACTAGGATCTAATTTTACCACCTCACAGAATTTTTTCACAGCTATAATTAAAAAGGTAATACTTCTTCATTTTCCAAATGTTACCTATGCTTCCTTAGTGCCTTCTTTTTACCTAAGATGGGTCAGCAATCCACAGGGCTGGACATCAGCAGCATGGAATTTACTTTTTTTTTTCATACCGGGATCAAACTCAGGACCTTGCGCTTGCAAGACAGGCAACAGAACCACTGAGCTAAATACCCGGATACTCTTTAGTATAGAGAAGGGCCGGGATTTAGCTCAGTGGTTTCACCGCCTGCTGTGCAACCGCAAGGACCTGAGTTTGATCCCCAGTACCAAACAAAAAAAGTATAGAGAAGCCACGCATGCATGGTAGTACATGCTGGTAATCCCAGCACTCTGGGAGGCTGAGGCAGGAAGTCACAATTTCATGCCCAGACTGGGTAACTTAATGTCTCATAATAATAAATAAAAATAGTGCTGGGGTGGTGCTCAGTGGTGCCATGCCTGCCTCGAAACTGCAATGTCCTGAATTCAATCCCCAGTACCAAATAAAATAAATAAATAGATAAATAAATAAAAGTAGTCTGGGTATGTAGCTTAGTGCCAAGGCCCTGAGTTAAAAAAAAAAAATTGCAGCCGGGGATTTAGCTCAGTGGTTTCACCATCTACTACGCAAGCTCAAGGACCCAAGTTCGATCCCCGGTATAAAAAAAAAAAAAAAAAAAATAGAATCTTTAAAAAAAAAAAATTGCAAAGTTTGGCATACCTTATGGTTAATCAAAGAAGTACTGTTAACTACTTTCTGAAAGTAATCTGTGGAGTAACTAGTGCTCTTCTCAAAAAATTAACATAAAAGCCAAACACTGGGGAATGGAGGTACAGCTCAGTAGTATACCATGTACTTAGTATAGCGACGGCCCTAAACATTGAACCTAACACAGAAACGAATTGATCTTATTACCCTGACATTATAGAGCAAGTAAGAAGCAGAGCAAACCGAAGTAAAGGAAAAGAAATGACATTAGAGGGCTGGGGATTTAGCTCAGTGGTTTCGCCGCCTGCTGCGCAAGCACAAGGACCCGAGTTCAATCCCCGGTACCAAAAAAAAAAAGAAATGACATTAGAGGATATAAGAAGCACCAAAATTAGGCACAAAATACTATGCTTTTCATGTCAGAATCATTTATAGACAGGGTTGTCCCACAGTCACCAGTCCAATGAATGGTGCATGTATAGATATAAGTATAATCAGAGAGACAGAGATAGATAGAGATAGGGAGCCAGAGAGAGGGAGAGAGAGAGAACAAGTGATTTGGGTGAGATTTTAGGTCAACAGGTTCTGGAGGAGTTGTGATCACAACCTCTCCATTTAGCTCCCAACAATGCAGCCAGGTGAGACAGGGTGACATCCACAGGAAGTGAGCTGCCACTGAACCTGAAAAATGTACTGCCACTAGATGTCTTACAGCAGAAATACAGTCACCTGTCTAAAAACAGGAAATGACAAGACTGTTCACCAGCTCTCAATTTCAGAGAGCAAGATTTATGTTTTTCAATTCTAGCCACTAAATTCCCTAAGCTGTTTTGCTAGAGCAAAACAATCCAACCTGACCACTACTGATTCCCTTCCTTCACACAAAAGAAACTTGAAAACATACCAAGAGGAGGTGTTTGCTGATAGCCTGGCACTGGACCATTGTAGGCGCCATAGGGAGTTGGAAGTGCTGTGGACCCTGGCTGCCCACCATAACTGGACTGATGATACCCTGGGTAGATGGGCTGAGGCTGCCCAAATGGCGGCACAGGTGGAGCTGACTGGTTAACATTCATTATGACAGCATCCCCGACTTGGTCTTACCTATTAGATCACAGAAAAGACAAATTAGTCAAAACACATTTTTTTTTTCCTTTTCCTTTTTTCTTTTTTTTTTTTTTGGTACCAGGGATCGAACTCGGGTCCTTGCACTTGCAAGGCAGGTGACGGAACCACTGGGCTAAATCCCCAGCCCTCCTTTTCCTTTTTTTTTTTTTTGGAGACAGGGTCTCACTATGGAGATCAGGCTGTCCTTGCAGCTCAGGCTGGTCTTAAACTCACAGCAATCCTCCTCCCTCAGCCTCTTGAGTGCTGGGATTACAGGTATATTCCACCAGTCAAAACAAATTTTCTAAAAGAAAGAGCAACTATTTAAAGTAAGAAGTCGAGATAAAAATGGATTGACCTTATCAGGGAGTGATCAGCTTAATCATTCCCATGCTGCCACAGGATCACAGAAATTTTCTGCCCCAGCCAGTATCGTTATGCTTCCTCAAAGCAAGGATTTTGTTACTGTGAACCCCATGTTTTGCCACTACCAAGAGGGTATAAATTTCAACTTTAGACAGACCCACTAGAATGAAGCAGCAGCCTCCATTTCCAGTGGTATGATTTCTAATGTTTAGTCAGAAGAAGTCCTGTGGCTGCTGAATTACCATAAATTTACAGATAAATGAAAGAATATCTCCACTTTCCATTCATTCTCTCTAGCATCTACTCATTCGTTCATTCGATAAACAATGAGTATCCTCTAGAGTGCTAGTTGTTTTTAATCACAGGGTAAAAGTCTAGGTCAGACCAGCTAAATCCCTCCCCCTCAAAAGATAAATTTTTAGAGTAATAGATTTAGAGAAATGACATTCTTTGGCTGAACTACAATGATCCAAATGCTACTCCAATCCCAGCCTTTCCACTACAAGAAGGTGACAGCCAAGTGTAGTGGTACAAGCCTGTAATCCCAACTACTTGGGAGCCTGAGGCAGACGGAAGATCACAAGTCCCATATCAAAACCACAAAATAATAAGAGTATATGAAGTGAAACATTAATTATCAAATGTAAAGACATCTGAAAAGTCTAGCAAGGTAACTGGTTAAAACTAAGTTCAGCCAAGCACAAAAACATCTTCACATAAGCTAAGGAGGCAGTTCAAAGATAAGCGGCAAAATAGGACTGCATGGAAAAGATCATTTATCTTTTCTCTCAAGCAGAGCAGATGAATGATCCCAGTGCACTTCTCAAACTCTTTCTCCTCTCCTTAAGAATGCAGGCCACCATCAAAATCACTACAATCTTGCCCAGTAACTGAAAGATAGCCTTACAAGGTCCAGTTCTTGCTTCTTCGAAGAAAAGGACTATCTTATCACGTCTACTGTATATAGCTTTATCATCCTAATTATCCTAGGCAGAAGGGGCCCAAGAAGCAGAGACCTCACAAAGGGCTACCATGAAACAATGGGCCTCTCCTCTTGGCTAGGAAGGAAAAGCTGCTCCTGGACTAGAACTCTAAACTAAAACCCTCTCGGGAGTTGTTTTTCCAAATCCTAAACTTTCCACGGGTCACTGACACTAAGCTTGACAGATGTCTCCCCTCCTTTCTTTTTAAAGTCAGAGAAGGAAAAGGGTGTCTTCGCCAGAAAATTATCCCCTCAAACACATTCCAGAGCCTGGAATCAAACTCTGGTCTTGATTCCATTCTAGGTGGATTGGATAGTTAGAATGACAGCCCAAAGAGGCGGGGCAAGCTTCCTAGAACTCTGAAAGTAGTTTAAGCTTTGGAGGCTGGGAGTGCCGAGGATAAAGATCCAGAAGACAGCTTCTCAGGCCACGGTCGGCGAGAAACCTAGTCCATCAAGCGTTAGAGACCGGGCGTGCTGCGCCCTTCGAGAGGCTCGGAGCAGGAAGCAGGAGCCAGAACCTGGGCCGGGAGAAGGGAGAAACTAGGTCTGATCCTAGGTCGTGGATGCGCGAGGCGAGGGTCTCTTCTCGGGCCCCGCCCCCAGGCTCCTCTCTTCCTTCTAAAACCAGACCCCGATCTGGTCAGTAATACTCCGGCCTCTTCTCTACATTGCTATCCACCACCTAACCTCCGACGCCACTCCTCACCCGGCTCCAGATCCAGGTTCGCCTTCGTTCCTAACGTCTTAGGCTCCCAGGCTCCACTTCCGGTTCCGATCTGGGTGGTGGGGGCCGTGGTGTCCCCCCAGGAAGTTCCGCCTCCACGCTCCAGACGCGGCCACTCCTTCTGCCACGTCGGCATTAGGCACGCACTCGGGAACCCGGATGCTGTGCATGCGCCACTGCCCTCTTCTAGCACGGCACTTTCTTCGGACTCTCTCCTGGCTTTCATGCATTTTCGTTTTTTGTTCTTTGAAATGTCCTGGCCACTTTACTGCCGCATCAACCAACATGCAGCTGAGACGACTGGGTCAAAAGACTTCAGTAACGCTTTCTTAAACTGACGTGTTAGTGACCTATGATCTTAATCAATTTCCTGCTGACCCTTGACCCCAGTTATTTCCGTCCTCTGTGGTGTTCTCACCTCTGAACTTTGTGGTACGTGTAGTGGTGGCAATAAAAGGTAATCCTACTGTCGGGCAGTGTGCATGAGTTTGCGGCCTGGTTCTGCAGTTCCCTAACTTGGGCAACTTCTTTGCCTCCATTTCATCTGTAGAATTGAAGTGATATCCAGCTAAGAGCTTGTTGAGAGAATTAATTCACACGTTTCATAGGTTGACATTACAAGCCCTAGGTAAATGTTAGTTATTAGCCATTTTTGTACAGTGTCTTCGTGTTTTTTTGTTTTAGTTTTCTATTTGATATTCGGTCTCACTATGTTGCCCAGTCTGGCCTTGAACATATGAACCTCCAGCCTCAGCCTCCCAGGTGTTGGAATTGTGAGCTCAGAACTCCACCAGGACCAAAAATTCTCTACTGTTGGAAAAGCTACAATTTCTGCAGTAATCCTTCCATGTTTAGTGAATGATTGTAGTTAACATTTGTAGTGTTGGGCCGGGGATTTAGCTCAGTGGTTTCACCGCCTGCTGCGCAAGCTCAAGGACCCGAGTTCGATCCCGGTACCAAAAAACAAACAAACATTTGTAGTGTTTTATCATCCTTTTGTTACTATTTATATAATGATTTGAGCACTATTGTGGACCCACATTTTAGGTTCTGCAAATATAGTAGGGAACAAAAATGTTCTTGCTCTCAAATCTTGACAGTTATTTTGAGGTATAAAGTAGCTCATTCATTGAAAAAAAAAACCATGCACTTCAGTTTGTGTAGGTGTTTACTAACAGGGCAGATCGCACCTGTCCTCAGTTTATAAATGTCAACAAACTCTGTGGCGATTAGTATCAGTAATACCCGGGAACTTGTTAGAAATGCAGGTTTGTAGGGCTGGAGACATAGGTCAGTGGTAGAACACTTGCCTAGCATGCTTGTTGCCCTGAGTTCTAGCACCAGTACTGCAAAGAGAAAAAGAAATGCAAAGGCACTGGGTTCAATCCCCAGTACAATAAAAAACATACAAAACAAGCCAACGGTGGGCTGGGGATTTAGCTCAGTGGTTTCACGGCCTGCTGTGTAAGCGCAAGGACCCGAGTTCGATCCCCGGTACCAAAAAAAAACACCAAAAAACTGTCTCTTTAGGAGCCGGGGATTTAGCTCGGTGGTTTTGCCACCTGCTTTGCAAGCACAAGGACCAGAGTTCGATCCCCGGTACCAAAAAATAAAAACAATAAATAAAAAAAACCAAGCCAATGGTATATGTATGATACAATGGTTGACATTTAGGTGGTTGGTTGGTTGGTTGATTTGAGAGTCTCAAACTCCTGGATTCAAGAGATCCTACTGCCTCAGCCACTCTAGCAGCTGGAACTACAGGCATTAGACCACTGCCCTCAATTTAATATTTATTTATTTGTTTGTTTATTTATTTATTTTGGTACCAGGGATCAAACTCAGGACCTTGCTCTTGCAAGGCAAGCGCTGGAACCACTGAGCTAAATCCCCGGCCCATCCTGATATATATTTAAATAGTGAATGAGGGAATATCTAGTCTTTTTACTGACGAGACCAAGTGGCTGCATGAGATAACACAGCTAATAAATGGTGAAATAAGAACTCAAGTCTAATTCTTGACCAAAATCCCATCTTCTCTGACCACATCCTACACCAAGGGAAAGAGCATTTAATACACTGGGGAGCAGCTCTTCCATGAAACTGGGTTTTTTTTTTCCGGTACTGGGGATCAAACTCAGCACCTTGTGCTTTCGAGGCAAGCAGCAGCACCACTGAGGTAAATCCCTGGCCCAAAACTAATTTTTGATAACCACAGTTACAACACCATAATGTTAGATTTTATAACAGAAACCTCTATGTAGGGCACATTCGTGCATTGGAGACCTAGAAACAAAAAGAGCTTTTATTATTAACATGAGGTGGGATGTTTTCTATGACTACCTATGGATTATAATGGTAATTTAGTTCAGCAAAAATTTATTGACCACCCATTAGATCAGTCATTGTCCTGTGGACTGTTGATGTCACACAACTCTTGCTTTTAACATTCTTGTAGTCTAGGAAGGAAGACACGCACATAAACACATTGTACTATTAGCTGAGAAATAAAATACAAATATAAACAAGACATACGTTTTTGACTTTAAAGGTGAGGAGTTGAGAGATGGTCAGAAAAGGTACCTATGTTACCTTTAACATAATGATGACAGTACAACTGAAGCAAACCTTCTAGCTTTCCTTACTTTTAGTCTTTTTTTTTTTTCATGAGACAGAGTCTCACTATGTAGCTCAGACTGGTCCTGGCCCAGGCTGGCTTCACACATGTGGTGATTCCTCCTGCCTCAGCCTCCTGAAGGCTGTGAGATTACAGGTATGTTCCACCACACACAGCTGAGGGTTTTTAGTCTTTTAGTTACTTGCTTTTAGTTTACTTTAAAAGTCACTACTTTTATTTTTTTCCTACCACGAAGCTATATCCCTGAAGTAAGTGTCTTGCTGTATATTCCAGGATGCCTTGAACTCACAGTTATCTTCCTGACTCAGCCTCACAAGTACTGGGATTATAGCCATCCAATACCATACCCATTTCCCCCAAATGTTTTCATTTTTTAATTTTTTTCTCCACTTTTTTTATTGGTACATTTTAGATAGACATGATGATCACATTCATCGTAGGGAATTTGTACCTGTACATGATATATCTTGCTTCCTTTTTTTTCATTCCCCTCCCCTCCCTTCAACCCCTCTTCCCCTCCTTGCTTACAAAAGCTTTGTTTCCATTTTTTCCTTCTGTTCTCTTTTTTTTTTTTTCCGCTTGTCCCTTCCTTTTTTTTTTTTGTCCCAGGGATCAAACTTAGGACCTTGTGCTTGCAAGGCAAGCACAGTGCCACTGAGCTAAATCCCTGGCCTGCTTGTCCCTTCCTTTCCCCCTCCTGTCGCCCTTGTTTCCCTTCTCATTTGAACATTTTCTTCCCATTTCCTAATATCTATTATACATTTTGGTCCTTATTTACACCTTCGGTTTCTCACACCACAGAAACAATGTGGTATTTAAACATATGTGTCCGATTTATTTCACTTAGTATGGTCTCAAGGTTCATCCATTTAGCTATAAATGTCTGAAGCTTATCCTTCTTTATGGCAGAGTAGTACTCCACTGTATTAAAAAAAAACATCTAGGGGCCAGGGATTTAGCTCAGTGGTTCTGGCACCTGCCTCACAAGCACAAGGTTCCACTTTTGATCCCTGGTACCAAAAAAAACCCCACTTCTTTATCCATTCATCAGTTGTTGGGCATTTGAGCTGTTTCTAAGATTTAGCTATTACAAACTGTGCCACTATAAACACTGTCGTATGATGCTTTTAACTCTTTTGGGAAGATACCAAGACGAGGAGACTAGCTGGGTCAAATGGAACTTGTAGGTTTAGTTTTTTTGTTTGTTTGTTTGAGACAAGTTCAAACTATGTAGTTCAGGCTGACCTTGAACTCACTGTAGACCAGGCTGGCCTCGAACTCATGATGATCCTCCTGCCTCAGCCACCTGAGTGCTGGGATTACAGGCATTTGACACTATGACTGGCTAGTTTTAGTTCTTTGAGGAATCTCTGCACTGATTCCTCAGTGGTTGCACCAGCCTACACTCCCACCAACAGTGGAGAAGGGCTCCTTTTTCCCCACAGCCCCACCAGCAGTTGTTGTTGGTTGACTTTTTTTTTTTTTGGCACTGGGGATTGAACTCCTGACCTTGCGCTTTCGAGGCAGACGGTGGCACCACTGAGCTAAATCCCTGGCCATTGGTTGACTTCTTGATAACAGCCATTCTCTTTGGAGTGAGATGGAATCTCAGTGGTTTTTTTTTTTGGTACCGGGATCGAACTCGGGTCCTTGCACTTGTGGGGGCAGGCGGCAGAACTATTGAGCTAAATCCCTGGCCCTCTCAGTGTTATTTTAATTTACATCTCTCAAATGACCAGTGATATTGAACATTTTTTCATATATTTATTTGCCATTTCTACTTCATCTGAGAAGTGTATATTCATTTCAGATGCCCATTTTTGAATTGAGTCTTTAAATGTTGGGGTCTGATTGTTTTGAGTTCTTTATATAGTATATTCTAGATATTAGTCCTTGTCTGAGGAACAGCTGGCAAAAATTCTTTTCCCCACACTGTACATTGTCTCTTCACTGGAGTCTCTCTCTTCGATCTCCCTGTGGGCTTCAATTCTAGCTTCCTCTTTAATGGGTCCCGGGGACCCACTTCCCTCCTCCTTCTCTTCTTCATGTTGCTATATATATTCCAGCATCTGGACACCAAATCTCAGGCTGTTTCTCTGCTGTTCATCACTCTGCTGTCTCCCTGGAAGTCTACATTTTAAATTTTTGAGACAAGTTCTCACTAAGTTGCCCAGGCCAGCCTTGAGCTTGTCGTCTTTCTGCCTCGAGCTTGCCGTCTTCCTGCCTCAGACTTCCAAGTACTGCAGTTGGGCTTGCAGGTGTGCACCACCACAACCAGCAAAAAATCACTGATTTTTTGATTTAGCAATATATTACTAGTCTCCCACTAGCTTTGCTGTAGATAACACCTCTGAAGTGTGGCTCTTGATAACAGTTGCCTAGGTTACCTTTCAGGAATTTAACAGTTGCTTTTACTTAAACCACCAGCTCTTCACTTGGGCTTATGCAGGTGTGCAATAGGTAGGTGACTGATGAAAGAGGGCCAAACACACCACCCTCAGATCATACTAATGCCCCTATTTTTGTGAACATGCATCCTGTAAAGAGCTACGAATATTGAAGACACATGTGCAGACCACTGATTACTTCGCTTCCAGTCACTTTTCGCCATGCTTTCTGCTTTTTCTCCTCCCCATTCAGCACTGGTAACAGAACCCAGGGCCTTGTGTATGCTGCATAACTGCTTTACCACTAAGCTATATTTCCAACCCTTTGTCATTTTTTATTTTGAGGTAGGTTTTCACTGAGTTACCCGACATGGCCTCGAATATGCAATCCTCCTGCCTCAGCCTTCCAGGTAGCTGGAATTACAAGTGTGTGCCACCATGGCCAGTTATACCTTCCTTTTAAAATCATAAATATTCCTAAAACCTACCTTTGAGGAGGCATTCACACTTGGCTGCCTCAATAAATAAACTTGGTCTCTTGCAAAACACATATCAGTGACTGGCATGCTGCACAATGGGCAAAAAGAGCCTGGATTGGTAACAAATTCATACAGGGTACCTTTCCTGGGAACTTGTGGAGTAAACCCAGCCATTCCTTGCCAGCTTTAGAATTGAAGCCTCTGCTGGTGCAGCTGCCACTCTGAAGTGGGATTTGGGGGAAAGCGATTGAGATTAGTCCATGATCCTATCCTACAGGACACAGCCACTGAAAGGGTGTTCCTTAGTTGAGAAGGGGGCATAGAAGGCAGAAGTTTGTGCTATAATTAGCAACAGGAGTAACAAGGTGGGGGAAGGAGGTTGAGTACAGCCGGCAACTATTTTGAGCAGATTGATGGGACATGTGTGCTGGACTGTAATTACTCCAGGGCCAAGTTGCTTGCCTGGGGTGTGGGGTGTGGGTGCTGGGGCAGCAGGAGCAGGACAGCCAGACAGGCAGGCAGGCCAGACGGGGTACCAGCACCTCGACTTCTCTCCCTGGGACACTGTCCAAACTTCAGGGGCCATAGGCCAAGCTGAGCAATGGGTGCTGAGGAGGAAGTCCTGGTCACACTATCAGGGGGAGCCCCCTGGGGCTTCCGACTTCAGGGGGGGGCCGAACAGAGGAAACCCTTACAGGTGTCCAAGGTAAGGGAGAGCCCCTGAAATGAAGTTTCAGGGAAAGGGGAACCCAAGGGAACCTGAGAAGTCATGTGGTGGCCTAATTGGGGAGGAGGATCATGGGGGGCTGTGAAGAAGAGGTGGAGGGAAGGGGGCAGGTGGGCAGGGAAGCATGCTCAAGTCTGGTGGAGGGAGTTGTATCTGACCACAAGCTTCTTCCGGGAGCTATTAGAAAAGGGAATTCCTGGCTTCCAAGGAGCAGAGAAAAAGGGAGCTTCAGGTTCCTGCAGCCCTGAGGTTCCAAAGGCTGGTGTCTGGGCACCTGGGGTTTGCTTTCCTGTGTGTGTACCTCTCTGCTCCCAACTCCAAGAATGTCGGGAAGGTTCTCATTTCTCTCTCACTAAACTGATATGTTACAAGCTGAAGCTGTCTCATCCAGGCCAGCCCTGCCCTGCCCTGCCCTGCCCTGCCCATGCCTTCTGTGCTCCTCTTTCCCTAAGTCAGGTCCTTTTCCTCATTAGGCCAGACTTTTTTTAGGTGCTAGGAAGGTTATGGCAAGATCTGGCCTCTCAGATAAAGTCATTACCCTTTTGGTTTCACTCTACAGACTTAGTTTTCTGAACTGTAAAATGTGGGTAATAATAGTACCTACTTCATAGAACCATTTTAAGAAATGCACTAACACATGTAGCACAGTGCCTAACACCTACTAAGAGCTTGATAGGTGGTAGTCATGTGTGCACATGTGTCCATCCAAGCTGATATCACAGTCTCCCAGAATCTGGCTGGACTGCCTTGATCTGGAATACTATTATAAAATCTTAACTTATAATAGCATCTGGGATTCCAAGGCCTGGAAAGGAACTATTGGCCACTAGAATATTGCCCAGAGGAAAATCTTGGGGATGCACTGTCATTTCTAGTACCTCCTCCCTGCAGTTTCCTCCAAGCCCCCTCCACTCAGTGGTTACCATACCTCCCAAGATAAGAATATTACACCCGCTGATCTCCACCTTCCTCCTAGACTGGCCCCCTCAGGTGCAGCCCCAGATACCTCCACTCTTCTCATCCTGCATGGGTACTTCCTATCCTCTCCTTTTCATCTTTTCATTCTATTCCCACTGGAGTCCTCCATCACCTACAATCTCTCCTCCAACATCTCAGATCCGAAGAAGGAGCCAGGCTGGCAGAGCAGGACTCCGAGAGAGGGACCACCTCTTGGCGATCAATGGGGTTTCTTGTACCAGCCTCTCTCATGCCAGTGCCATGAGCCTCATCGATGCCTCAGGGAATCAGCTTGTCCTCACTGTGTGGCGGTATGGACCCTCCCTTCTTTTACCACAGTCCAAGACTCCTAGGGTTCCCTTTTGCCTGCCTCAGCTCTAGGTCTCACTGGTCTGGCTTCAGCAACTAACAAGTACCTATTTCTGCTTGTGTATTTTTGCTGGGGTATAGATGTTTGCATATGTCTCCCAAAAGGTGTGGAATTAAAGGTTGGGGTGTCAAATGGACATGTCACCAGTGGGTCTCCTTCAGCCTCTGGTCTATCTCCTCATCTCATCTTCCTTATAGCCTTCCAACCACATTGGAAGATGATTCACTCTAGCCATATGCCTGTCCCTGCTTTCTCCTTTATCTCCTTCCCCAGCCTCTCCAGAATTCTCTAGCTATTAGCCACATAGCCCATCTCTCAAGTTTTGTCGTCTTTCCCATCCAGGGCAGCAGAGGAAGGGCCTGTGAGATCTTCATCCCCTGGGGAGCTTCAGGCACTGTCACCCCTATCTCCACTGAGTCCTGAGCCTCCTGGTGCTCCGGTATCCCAGCCCCTTCAGCCTGGGAGCCTTCGATCACCCCCTGACAGTGAGGCTTACTATGGAGAGACAGACAGTGATGTGGATGGCTCTGCCACTCAGGAGAAGCCCCGCCGACCCCGCCGCCGAGGCCCCACAAGGCCCACACCTCCAGGAGCCCCACCAGATGAGGTCTACCTGTCTGACAGCCCTGCAGAGCCAGCACCTGCCATCCCTGGGCCTCCCAGCCAGGCTGACAGCCGTGTGAGCTCCCCATCTTGGGAGGAAGGAGCAGCCCTTCAGCCGCTCCCGGCCGAGGCACTGCTGTTACCCCATGGTCCACTCCGGCCTGGTCCTAATCTCATCCCTATGGTGGGACCTGTTCCCCACCCAGTGGCAGAAGATCTTACTACTACCTACACCCAGAAGGCCAAGCAAGCCAGTGAGTCCTGAATGCTTGTTTTTTTTTTTTTTTTCCCTAGCCAGGATCTGAAACCTAAGTCTATGCTTTCATATTACAATTTCTACCTACTTCATGTCTCTTGGATACAATCTTTGGGACAAGTAGAGAACAGACATAAGTGGAGGAGATAATAATTATTCTCATGGTCTCCATTATTTTTGCCATTTGAAGCAGTGTAGCAAAAAAAGTACAAGTGGTTCAATTCAACCCAGGAACAGAGTAAGTGGGGAAACTGGAAAAGGGCGTGACTAGATGAAGAGTTTGGTGGTCGTTGCTGTTGTTTCATTAGCTGACAGGATGGATTGAGAGCAGAGGACAGACACAGGGCACGGGAGTATATGGAAACAGGACAAGAGTTCAGGGGCTCTTTACAGTGTTAACTGTAGGCAGAGTTTCAGAGCTGTTGACGTGTAAGTTTGGTGGGGATTCCTGGGGACTGGGAAGCTATGGGACGGTCATGAGGTCCCTAGAAAGTGGCAGAAGGAGGAATCTCTGGCCCCTTATCTCAGGCAAGAATGTAGGCCTGGGCAGAAAAAGCCAGTTCCGCTTATCTCAGGCTCTTTGCTATTTTTGATGTGAGCTATAGAACCAGATCTAAGAAAGAAGTGTCTCCCTGTCCTGGTTCTTCCAAGCCCCTCCCTAAAGACCTTTTTGTCACCTCTGAAATCTCAGGATTCCCCCTCTAGTTTTCATCTTTCTCTCCCCACTCCATCATTCTGATAATCCATACAATTTTGTGTCTCTAAATTTGAATAGAGGTTAAGGACATGACAGTTTAGAGTCTGACATCTCTGAGCATATCCAGCATTCCACACATCTAGGCACATACTTAGGATCCCGTACTTATCCCCAGTTCTCATTTCTCATCCCCTCCTTTCCCTTCCCATCATGATGGGTGAGACTGTGGTTAGTGGCTCAAGGATATTTTTAGTCAAAGTAGACCTGATTGTCCAGTGGGGCAGGGTGGGGGGAAGGGGAGGCAGGTGCCCACGTCCATCACACCAGGACTTGTGGGACAGCCTAGAGAAAGGAAGGGGCCAGGCTCCAAAAATAGCCCAGTGAGGTCATTCAGCTGCCAGCCCTGGGGACAAGACAAAGGGGCTTTAAAAGGCTTGGGGGTGGCTCAAGCTGGTCCTGCTCCAGCCAACACTGCCTTTCTCGGCATGGAGGCCTTTGAGCCCATCAGCCAAGAGCCCTTCAGTCAAGCCAGCTGTGACAAAGCCCCAGATCCAGATCCTGAACTCCAAGACCCATTCTATGCAGGTATTACCTTCCCACATTCAAGAGAGCTTTGGGGTGTAGAATGGAAAGGTTTAGAGTGGAGGGTGATACCGCAACAATTGAGGAAAGGTGGACTTTAGGGAAGGTCATGTTCTCCTGTCCTCTTCTTTTTTGCTGTCCTCTTCTTCCTTCTCTCAGAAGAGCATCATTGACCCTTTCTCAGAATGGGTTGGTGCTATGGCCACGTGACAAAGGGGTTTGTGACCACATGAGCTGTAGAAACCTCATAGGAAGAGTGTGTGTGAAAGAGAGAGGTGGATGTACATTATGAATACCTGAATGCAGGCATGGGCAAGTCTGTGGGAGGAGGTATGTGTGAATAAGAATTGTCTGTATATGTGTATAGCTAGGGTCAAGAAAGCATTGAGAGTAATAGCTGCTCACAGTGGGCCTTAGTAGTATGTTAAGTGCTAAATTTACTTATATTAGCTCACTTACTCCTCATAGCAACCCTATGATGTTGCTGTTATCCTCATTTACAGATGAGGAATCTGAACTTCAATGAAGTGAAGTAACTCTCCCAAGAACAAAAGCCCGAACTGAACTCTGACTCCTGTGCCTATTCTGTCATCTACAGTACTATATTCTATGTTATGGGAGTTGGGATGAGGGGAATGAGAGCCCTAAATAGAAAGGAGCTTGGTATCTCAAGTGGAAAGTAGATGGAATTTCAAGAATTTTTCTGGAGGAACTGGGGACCATGGACCAGAGATTACCCGTCTAAGGCGGGGTCTCTCCCATTTCCTGCTCCACCTATCCAGGCTTTACATGGCATGGGAAGCCCTGCCTTGGTTCTTCTTAGCACATAGTCCTTGTGTGCCTATCTGGTGGCAGATGCCTGATCTCTCTACCTAAAAGGCTTGTGCTGACCCCCTAAGAAACCTATCCTTCTCTTGGGGGAAAGGAGACTACATTTACCTGGTGACCTTGAGGTATCCTGAAGATTGGGAGGATGGTCTTGGAGAGCAGCACCCTGACTTTCCCCACATCTTGGATCTGAGATTAACTCTGGCTGTGAGTAACGGGTATGAAGCATAGTTGGCAGTTAGAGGGCCAAGAGCAGCTCTAAAATTCTGACCAAACTGATAGTAAGTGTCCCTGTGGGGGAACTCAGGGGAAAAAACCCACCTGGAGCATGTGTGTGTATACATGTGAATGACTCTGTGTTTTCATGTGTGCACAGATATATTTAAGTATGTGTATGTGAGCTAAAGTGTATGTGAGTTGAGATATACATTCATTCATTAATTAGGTTGATTGCTTGATTTATTTATTTGCAGTACCGGGGATCACACTTGGAACCTTGGGCTTGCAAAACAGGCATGGCGCCACTGAGCTAAATCCCCGAGCTAAATCACTGAGCCGTAATTGGGTTTTTTGAAGCAAGGTCTTGCTACGTAGTTCAGGTTGGCCTTGAACTCACTATGTAGCCCACACTGGCTCAACCTCCCAAGTGCTGGGATCATAGGTGTGCGCCACCAGGTCCAACTGGGATAGACATTAGTGAGAGAGAAAAGTACATTGGAGAAAGAACTAGCTTTCAGTAGTAGACAGATATTCCTCTTGCAATGTCATGTGATGGAAGTTATTGCTATGAGTGCATCTGATGTGGACCACATTATGGGGGTGGAGCTGTGAACGAACATCTTCATTGTTAAGAATCCCGTGTCTTGGTCATCGGGGTAACAGGTAGGAAGAATGAATAAATCCCATACGTTGGGATCCCATCCCTCCTAACAGGGTCTCTATGGTAGAAGGAAAGTGTCCCTTCACTTCTCTCCTTGGGACACTTTCTCTAATTTCCCTGCCTGCTGTGGAAAGGGACACCTCCTTCCTGTAGCCAGTCAGGCGCGGGAAGTGGATAAGGAATCCAGGGGAGGGGGGCACAGATAAGGGCACATCTCTGGGAAGACTGGAACAGAATAGAAGGAAGGGGGACGGTAGTCAAAGCAGCGTCAGGGCGGCCAAGTGGACTCTGCCTTCCCTTTAGCTGACCTTGGTTTCACCTTTCACCCTCCACCCAGCCCTCAAGTCAGCCCACAGGCAGAGGAGAAACATTGTGGGTACCACGGTTGAAAGGATAGAGTGGGGGAGGGGAGAGGGAGCTGTCCCCGGGTGGAGACTGAAAGCTTCAGGGAGCAGAATTAGAAGAGGCTCCAAAGCCCCACTGACCAATCTACCTTCTGGTCTTCTAGAACTGCAACGGGCAGAGAGCCTCCAAGAGAAGAGTGTAAAGGAAGCAAAGACCAAATGCAGGACCATTGCATCCCTGTTAACTGCAGCCCCCAACCCCCACTCCAAGGGTGTGCTTATGTTTAAGAAACGGCGGCAGAGAGCTAAGAAGTACACCCTAGTGAGCTTCGGGGCTGCAGCTGGGACAGGCACCGAGGAGGAGGACGGAGTTCCCCCAACGAGTGAGTCCGAGTTGGACGAAGAGGGCTTTTCCGACGCGCGCAGCCTCACCAATCAGTCTGACTGGGACAGCCCCTATCTGGACATGGAGCTGGCCAGGGTGGGCTCGGGCACAGCAGAGGGCCAGGGCGGGCAACTGAGCGAGGTCTCCGGGCGAGGAGTCCAGCTCTTTGAACAGCAGCGCCAGCGCGCAGCCTCCAGCACCCACGAGTCGGCTCCGGTGGGCCAGGCAGTGGTGCTCAATGGTCAGGGTCTGCAGTCACCACCCCGAGCCCAAAGTGCTCCCCCGGAGGCAGCTGTGCTCCCACCCAGTCCTTTGCCGGCCCCTCTAGCCAGCCCCACACCGTTCCTCCCAGGTGGTGGAGCCCCTTCCCCAGCTCTGAGCGTATTTAACAGGTCAGCTAGACCCTTCACCCCGGGCTTACAAGGGCAGCGGCCAGGTACCACCTCGGTGATTTTCAGACCTCTAGCCCCCAAGAGGGCGAACGAGAACCTCGGGGGCCTCGGCCCGGCTCCAGCCCCCTTCGTGTCCGCCCCACCCCCCTTCGTGTTCTCTCCGCAGGAGCCCACGCCTCTGCAGAGCTTCACCACAGGGGTTTCCAGCCATGTGCCTTCCCCTAGTTCCCCCAGCACCCCGCGGTCCTCAGGCCCTGTTACGGCCACCAGCTCCCTGTTCATCCCAGCCCCGAGTCGCCCCGTTACTCCGGGCGGAGCCCCAGAGCCCTCCGCTCCTCCTGGTGCAGCTGCCATGACCTCCACCGCCTCTATCTTTCTCTCGTCGCCCCTGCGACCCTCTGCGCCCCCCGAGGCGCCTGCTCCAGACCCCGCGGCCCCCGACCCCCCCAGCGCTCGCGAGCAGCGCATCTCTGTGCCAGCTGCGCGCACTGGCATCCTGCAGGAGGCCCGTCGCCGCGGGACCAGGAAGCAGATGTTCCGTCAGGGAAAGGAGGAGCCCAAGAACTCGCCCAACCCCGAGTTGCTGTCGCTAGTGCAGAACCTAGATGAAAAACCTCGGGCCGGGGTTGCTGAGTCTGGTCCAGAGGAGGACGCTTTGAGCCTCGGAGCTGAAGCTTGCAATTTCATGCAGCCACCAGGGGGCAGGAGTTACAAGACGCTGCCTCGCGCGACACCTAAAACCCCGCCTCCAATGGCTCCCAAGACCCCGACCCCTATGGCTCCTAAGACTCCACCCCCAGTGGCTCCTAAACCAGCATCCCGAGGGCTCCTTGATGGGGTAGTGAATGGGGCGACCCCTTCGCCTGGAATCCCTGAGCCGCCAAGGCTGCAGGGGAGGGGTGGGGAGCTGTTTGCCAAGCGGCAGAGCCGTGCCGACAGGTATGTGGTGGAAACGACACCGGGTCCTGGCCCTCGGCCCAGAAGTCCTTCTCCTACCCCCTCACTGCCCCCTTCCTGGAAATATTCACCCAACATCCGAGCCCCACCTCCAATTGCTTACAACCCACTACTCTCACCCTTTTTCCCCCAGGCTGCCCGAACCCTCCCTAACAAGGCCCAATCCCAAGGGCCTCGGGCAGCCCCCAAGCAGGGCATCAAGGCTCTGGATTTCATGCGACATCAACCCTACCAACTCAAAACGGCCATGTTCTGTTTTGACGAGGTTCCTCCAACTCCTGGCCCCGCCTCCTCAGGGCCCCCCCAAACTGCCCGAGTCCAGGAGATCCGTCGATTTTCCACTCCAGCGCCCCAGCCCACGGCAGAGCCCCTAGCTCCCACTGTACTTGCCCCCCGAGCAGCCACCTCACTGGATGAACCCATCTGGAGGGCAGAACTGGCCTCAGCCCCTGTCTCCAGCCCTGCCCCTCCTCAAGAGTCTCCCAGAGGCTTTGGGGCCATCCCCAGCTCCTGTGGTTTCCAGGTAGCCAGGCCCCGATTCTCAGCCACCAGAACAGGATTACAGGCTCATGTGTGGAGGCCTGGGGCAGGGCACCGGTGAGCAAGGAATGGGTCCCAGGACCAAGGAGAACTGGAACATCCAGTCTCCAAAACTGCTTCTCCTGTCCTAAGCTACCCCACCTCTCCCAGGCTTCTGGAGGCTAAAGTCACTCCTGCCAGAGACAGTTTTGATGTTAATGTGTCATCACCCAGCTTCCTTCTCAGTCCCCACCTCCCTGGAGCTTTCCAACCTATTATCCCTACTTTGGTATTTCCTTGCCTGGATCTGTCTACATTTCCTGGTCTCTCTACCTGTATGCCTCTACAGGTCTCTTTACTCTTGTGTTTTTCTCTGTGAGCCTCATTTTAATGTTCAGTAAGAAGCACACAGAGTAGAAGTAACCACTGGGACCTTAGGCTAGAAGCTCACCACCAGGAAGACAGCAAAAACATGGAACTGATCCCTGTTTGCACTAACCTTCTCCCTACTCTTCACTCTGCTTTCCCAGGATTACCTGGCATATACCTAGGGTGTGTATGCCTAGGGTGTGTATGTGTGCAGACAAGTATGAGCAAGTGTGTGTGATCAGGATCTGATCTGGAAAGTAATCATATGTGCTCCTCTGTTTGAGGCAAGAGTAATAGGAGAAGTATAAAGACCCCATCTGAGTCTTAACTTTACACTGGTAGAAGGATTAGATACCCACACAGGGAGTCTAGCAGGAGAAAAGGGTTCCCTGGAGAACAGCTCCTTAGAGAGCAGTGTCTAGCAGGTGCACAGCACATGACAAGACTGGGACAGTTTGCATGGGCTAAGTTACACCACCTATACCAGCAATAGAACTAAGAATTATTTAAATCCTCTGGATTTCAGAAAGTTAGCAAATAGAGCTCTGTGCTGAGCAACCCAATATCAAGGATGTCAGAAAAAAAAGAAAAAGAAAATTTCTTGTGATAATGAATAAATTATTGGCTTCATTCCTTTAGGAACCTAAGACAGAAAAGAGGGAAGCAAGCCTGGGTGAGGAGAGTGAGACAGAAAGCAGGAGTGGAGCAGAAATGGGTGAAAGTGACGAAGCATGGTGAGGGAGAGGGCAGTGTTGGCAGAGTAAGGTTGGTTAACCAAAAACCAACTGTGTGAGGAGGGGGATTGGGAAAAAATCTGAGGGACAAAAATGTATTTGTCAGAGTTAAGGGGGATGATGGTGGGAGGGGAGCGTGAGGGTGTGTGCTGAGTGTAGAAAGAAGAGTTGGTGTCTGTGCTACTTCCTGTGAGTCCATCCTTCAGTTTGTCTTCTGCAGCTTGTCCTGGCTATCTGGGAAAGGCCAGGGAAGCACCCAGAGCCAAAACCTTCCCAGTCCTACCCCATCCCTCAAAACCCTAGCTCTTGTTCCTTTTCAGCTACAGGTCCTGGTTTCTGATTCTAGGAGGGGATGGACTCCCTTTTCACCAAGACCATCACCAGCCATATTTGCTGTTTGATCTGGAAAGTAATCATTTCCTTTGCATTTTGGGTGTGAGTCACAGCTCTTTGATTTGTGCACAAGAATAAACTTATGCCCCATACCTTTTGTTGCTGTCATCTCTTCTGGTTTTATACCCCATCCTGATCTCTCCTTGGTCTTCTCTAACTCATTAATTATCCTAATCTGATTCCCAATCTCAGTCTCCATTCCCACCCTCCCATTTTCCACCCTTTGCCCTTCATCCTCAACTATTTTGCTGTTCTCTACCAATTCCATCCTGCTTCAATTTCACTACCTCCACCACTCCTCCTAGTTTCGTCTCCCAGCAGTCTCCACCCAGAGTCTCCCCCTCTCTCTTCACTGCTCCTTACTTTCCAGGGAAGGCTCATCTTACAGAACTGAGAGAAGTTAAAAGGCCCTTTAATTCCTTTGCTATCAATACTTCCTAGCTCCCTGGAGGAAGCAACCATGTTAAACATTCTCTGAGACTTAAGTGAATAGAAAGCAATGACTGGAGGTGAAGGTTGGAATGGAAGATGGAATAAAACGTGGGCACCATGGGCTGGGGATTTAGCTCAGTGGCACCGAGCCTGCCTTGCAAGAGCAAGGTCCTGAGTTTGATCCCCAGGACCAGGAAAAAAAAAAAAAGGTGAAAGCCAGGCATGGTGGCTGGGTGACATGTTTGTAATGCCAGCATTTGGGAGGCTGAGGCAGGAAGATCTGAAGTTTGAGGGCAGCCTGGGCCTAGCAAGTTCAAGGCTGGCCTGCACTACATAGTGAGACCCTTTCTCAATAAACTCAAAAGAAGAAAGGAAGGAAAGAAGAGAAAGAAAAGGAATGAAAAAAAGAAACTTGGATTGAAACTAATAGAGAATTTGTGACTTATGTCTGCACCTAGGCAGCAAAAGGGGACTAAAAGGCAGATCTAAATGTTCACCTGTTGTTCTTAGACCTGCCAGAGTTGAAGAGGAAAGAAAAGGGAGGTAGAATAATTGGATAGTCCAGCCAGAATTAGAATTAGATTTGAGAAGGAACATGCCATTGCTCCAATTTTGCCAGCAGAGGGCAGATTTGTGCCAGTAATCAGATGCTCCCAAGTACACACTATCAGAATTCCAAAGGAAAGCCCCAGAGACCATAGGCTAAAATAGCGTCTTTACCCACTCAGTTATTTTAGGTGCTCAGTAATAGGAGATCACACTTTGAGTTTTTGTTGTTCTTGTTGTTGTTTCTGTTTTGTTTGCAGTGGTGGTGGTGGATTTTCAATTCCTAGCCTGAGCCTGAAAAGTCTAAGATGGGAGAAGGGCATGGTCAGGGACAGTGGAGAGCTCACAGAGGGTATATTTGGGAAACTCCAGGAGCCACTTTGGAGGCGGCTGCAACTGGGTAGTGAAAGAAGGCTGTGGCAGAGGTGCAGCAGCAGCTCATTCTACAACTTGTACAGAAGTGAAGGAGGAGCCAGGATGTTCCTGCAGCTACTGAGGAAGGACCTGGGCAAATGATAAACTTCCTTCCAGGGGGCTCTCAAGCTTGTGCCCCTTCCCAGAGGCTTCTTTTCCTTTTTTTCATCAAATTCATTTATTTATCTTAAAAGTCCTTATAAAGTTTTTGTTGTTGTTGTTGTTGTTGTTTTTGGTACCGGGGATCGAACTCAGGTCCTTGCGCTTGCATAGCAGGCGGCGAAACCACTGAGGTAAATCCCTGGCCCTTTTTGTTGTTGTTTTGAGACACAGTCTCACTATGTAGCCCAAGCTGGCCTCAAGCTTGCAGTGATCCTCCTGCCTCAGCCTCCTTAGTGCTGGGATTACAGAAGTATGTCTCAATGCCTAGCTCCCAGAGGCTCCTTTGGAACAACATAAATGGGATAATGCAGATTCTATGGCGTGTGTGCTCCTGTTGAAGGGAATTCCAACTAGGAACCCTAGAAAACAAGGCCTTGGTGAGTCAGAAACCAACCTGAGCTTCTCAGGGAGATAGCAACATCTGTCCTACAAAGAAGGCTGAACTGAGCACACAGGCAACAAAAGAGGACTAAAAGGCAGATGTAAATGTTCACCTGTTGTTCCTAGAACTGCCAGCGTTGACCAGGAAGAAAAGGAAGGTAGAATAACTGGTCAAGTCACATATCTCTCATTTTATTAGGTTTGGTTAATTTGTCCTTTATCCTGCCAAGATCTGGCTCTCCCAGAGAGACCAATCCATCAGGAACTTTATTTTATTTTATTGGGGGGGGGGCAGGGTTGGTACTGGGGATTGAACTTGAGTCTTTGCACTTGCGCAACCGGCCGAGAAACCACTGAGCTAAATCCCCGGGGACCCTCCATCAAGAACTTTAAAAGAGCAGCTCCATTGTGAAGACTTCCATCCTGTCCTCAAACATAGAGCCTTAATCCCTCCACCCCCAAATACACCCACAAGTCCCTCCAGCTCCAGCCCCAGATTGGCTGTGAGTGGTCCTCAGTCATGTTCTCTGGCTTCTCTCTCCCACTCCGAATTCCAACACCACTCGGGCCCGTTTCCTTTCTCCCTGTGTCTTCAATTTCCCTCTGAATGCTTCTTTGAATTTCAGACTCTAGGTGCACAGGGAAGGGGAGGTGGGAGGCAGGCTGATCCCTGGCTCAGATGGCTCAGGGGGAGAATCCCCCTTTCTCCCCTTCCTGAGCCTCTGGGTGAGGAGGGCAGGATCTTGGTTCCAGGGGTACCCCCTTTGCCATTTGAGCTGCTTGTGCTCATCATCTCTATTAATAACCATGCTCCCTCCCTCACTGCCAGTGCTGCCCCCACGCCTGCCCAGCTCGGGTTCTCCGGTCACAGCAGCTCAGTCCTCCAAAGCTGCTGGACCCCAGGGAGAGCTGACCACCGACTGAGCAGCCGGTAAGTGTGCAGCGATATGGCTCAAGGGGCTGGAGCCTATGCTGGTGACTTGTGTCTGCACCTGTGATTCTTGATCCTGGGGGAGTAGACCTCCCTCCCCCTAATCTGTACTCAGCTCCCAGCTGTCCAGGCCTGGGGAGCCACAGAGAGAGGGAAGGAGAGGCTCAGGGAGTTGGGGGAATGGAGATGTTGGGGAGGCACTTGACAGATGGGAAGGGAGTCTGAGACCCCAGTAGAGTTGCAGATGTGTTTGTAGGGCAGGACTCAGCAGAAGACAGCTGTCTCTGCAAGCCAACTTCTGTTAAGGAGGGGCCAGAGTCTGTATCTTTCCCCAGCTTGTCCCCATCCACAGTCAGATCTTATTACTATATTCCTGCCCTCACTCAATCCCCTACTGCTATGATATTGCTGAACTGACATGAGTCAGGGCTCCATCGCCTCCTAGATCCCTCTTTACCCCAGCTCTGGGGTCTGGGATGGGAGTGACTAAAGGAGAAGGGAACACGGCCATGACCTCCCAGGCCACCTTCCAGCTGGCCCAGTGCAGGAGCAACAACCTCTCATTCCTATGGAGAAAGTTTTTGGCTGAGTCTCTCAACCTGGCAGAACATTTCTCTATCCCCATGGGCCATGAGGGCAGATTGAGGAGAGACCAGAGCCTCCTAGTCCCAGTCTGATATCCCAGTGCAAATAAAAACTTTAAGTCCTGCATGCCCACGAAAGCTGGATGAATTGTCCTGCCTGTGAGGTTGTTGTCACCTTCAGCTATGGTCCTAATCCCTACACAGGCTCTGTGTAAAGCAGCCCACAAGAGGTTGGTAGAAGGTAGGAACAGGGGATCTAGCTGTTTTTCCTGCTTTGTTTCCCAAGAAAACAGAAGCCCTAAAACAGCGGCTTTTTACCTTTAGGGGAAATACATATTTCTTTGAAAATCTGATGAAATTACATCTTCTGAAGCCCTTAACCCCTGGTTAAGGAGTACTGTCCTACTGCAGCCAGGGGTGGTAGTGCATGCCTGTAATCCCAAGAAGAGAATCACTATGAGCTCGAGGCCAATCTGGGCTACATTGTGAACCCAAGGCCAGCCTGACATAGCAAGTCCTTTGTCTCATACACACACAAAAAAAACTTGGGCATGGTGGTGCATGCCTGTAATTCTAGCACTCAGGAGGCTGAGGCAAGACGATTGCCTGAGTTCAAAGCCAGCCTGGAATACATAATGAGACCCTATCTCAATAATAATAATAATAATAATAATAATAATAATAATAAACAAAATTGCCCCATGGCATACACTCTGCCCATTGTCAACCCTCCTTGCTACCTTGCTGCCCCATCTAGGGTGAATCCACCTCCACAATGCCACTCTCAGGAACCCCGGCCCCCAGTAAGAAGAGGAAATCCAGCAAGCTGATCATGGAACTCACTGGAGGTAGGGCATGTTTGTAACTACCTCATGTGGGACTTTGTATTGACAGCATCCCTGACTCAAGAGTCTCAAAAATAATATAAGGTTTTATATGTTTTAGGGTAAACAAACAAGAGGAATTCCAGTGGCAGGGGATCAGGGGTCAGGAGTGAGAGGGAGAGGAAAGATGGGCAGGAAGAAAGGCAGAAGGGATTTGACATTGTCTCTTCATCCTTCTACTCTTTTCTCCTTGTAATCTGAGACAAGATCCTACCATATTACCCAGCACAGGTCCAGGACCACAGGACACAGAGTCAGTGAGGTATGTTTGAGGAACACTGGTGCAGACTAAGGTCTCAGAATATGTTTAATTTCCTTATTTCTTTCCCCAGACCTTGGGAACGTGAATAAGCACATAAAATGGAAAGTTGCACATGTATGATTCCAGGCGTTAGACATAAGGGCACACATGTAGCAAGCTCTCCCAGAGGCTTTTTGGAGCCAGAATTCACTTGAGAAGAAAAGGGAAAGAGTTAAAACAGGAGTCTGTAGTTAGAGACAACCAGCTCCACTCCATGCAGGACTGACCTATTGACTTTCCCCGTGCCACTGCTTCTCCAATGGCCCTGCCTCTGTGATGTTCCTTCATACCTTTTGCCCTCGCCCCTTTGATGTTCACCTCTCACTGTAGTATCCACACTTTCTCTGCCCTGCATCCCAGTCCCTGTGCCTTCTCTCCAACTTCAAACCCAGGAAACCAAAATCTCTCACAAACAAGACAGACCTTGCTCAGGCATTACAGACACCATTTAGGTTCCCTAAATGATCTCTACCAGGACACACAGTTAGTTGTGGGTGGGGGTCTGCATTCTGAGCCCAGAAAACCCTCCTGTCCTCTTTCTTTTCCTTTGTACCTCCCTGAAAGGTGGACAGGAGAGCCTGAACCTGGGGAAGAAGATCAGTGTCCCAAGGGATGTGATGTTGGAGGAGCTGTCACTGCTCACCAACCGGGGATCCAAGATGTTCAAATTGCGGCAGATGCGGGTGGAGAAGTTTATCTATGAGAACCACCCTGATGTTTTTTCTGACAGCTCCATGGTGAGTTTGGAACTGAACCATTCTCTCAAAGCCTAGTGCCTTTTCTGATAGCTTTTAGTGGGCCTTCGACCTCCAAAATACCATCATCCTCTCCCTGAAAATTTATAAACTCACTAAACCTCTAGATTCATTGAGCCCCTGATAGCTCTGGGGTGAGGAACAGCCTCTGAAACTAAGTCTCCAGTTTAGAGCCAGTGAAGGGGTGGGGTGTACCACACCCTTAAGGA